TGACATGTGAGAAATATTTAGTTGGTGGTGTGGAGATGGAGCCTGAGCCCTGCGGCTAGTGCTTGTCAGGCCAGAAATGTGTTGACCTTTAACCTGTGACTGGTATTAATATTGAGAGGGACAAGCCAGTATGCAGAATTCAAGCTCCAGATAAGTTGTTCATCAGCAAGAGTGGCAGACTATTCAGTGAAGACTGGGTGTATAGTATTGCTGCATCTCTTTTGACTACTCAATGTTGGTAGATCCAAGAATAATATAGTATAGGTCAGGAGCAGGTTAGTAACTACAGGAACACGTTCAGTCAAAGGTAGTAGTATAGAAACATGGTCCCCACCAAACAACATACTTCCAAGGGCCTATAGAAAGGGTATACTGCAGTATTCATATAGTATACTCCTCCAATCAGCGTGATGCATACATCGAGAAATGCTCACTTTTGAAGATCACAATCGAGTTGGCTATTCCAGACGGTACATTCAGTTCCTCCCTTATGACTCTATCCTAACCTCCGTTGTCCGCCATATGCCTTGCCGGCTGCTATTACTCTCCACATCACCATCTGCCTCACCTTTGGAGTTAGTCAGGGGTAGATCCGATGACGTAAAGGGAGTCCTTGAACGTGAGTTTGAAGGGATAAACCCGAGCTTGAAGGCGCTACCTGAGCGACTTCGCGAGTTGGCCCCGCCCGAAGAGCCCTTGGAGGATTTGAACGTTTTGCGAAAGAACGGACGCAGTGTTGGGATACAGGCAGCGACAATGACAACGTTCTGTTCGATACTATGCGAGAGAGATTAGAGACCGCAAACCGGCGAAAGGGGAGGGCAGACTAACAGGCCCCAGACAACCAATGGCACCACGTTGAAAACTAACAGATGGTTAGCCAATGTACGAAAAAGAAAAACAGGAACGGCGTAGATGCACTCACGAGGATCAGTGCGGTCCGTGAACAAGTGAAGATATGTTGCCTTGACGATAGTGACAACCGCTGAAAGCAATGTCAACCCCATCATGATACAGACACCCACTTTGGTCGAAGTCCGCATTTGCAGCTTCCAGAGCGCCCTAATTGGGACAACGGCTAACACAAAGTCCGTCACTGTTGTGTATGCGCTAACCAAGTACGAGAAGTCATCGAACACATCCGGGCTCCAACATGAGCCGTTGACGGAGTGGTCCCACAGCATTTCTGTCGGATTGCACTGGAAGAAGACGATGAAAACACTTATCATGGCGAGGATCACTTGGAAAATGACCATGGCGTAGAGGAGGCGGGCACGAAGGGGGTTAGGGTCGAGGAGATGAACGATCAGGATAGCGATCGAGATATTTGGGAAACTGAAAGCCCCTGCACCATTACTTTCATGTTAGTCCCAGATAACTCTCCAGGAAGGTTTATATCACGTACCAATATTGAAAGGAAATCCCAGGATCTGCCAGTAAGCTGTTTTTACGTACCGTTCCATGCCATGCTCAGCAATGACCGCAGCCGTATGTCGCCCCAGACCGAGAGTGACTGAATATGAGACGAAAGCCGTGGCAATGATGCTCAGGCCCTGGGCATGAGGTCAGCTTTGCCCAGGAGGCTTTTGTTAGGATATGGATTTCCAACCAGGGAAAAGAAAATGAGAACGTCATCCCATCCAGCCCGCTTACTCTCCATGCGACTGAAGACCTTCAGGAATACCGCCGCGATTGCAACGCCCGTAAAAACCCATCCGACGACATTGATTTCTACGGCTCGGCTTTCACTAAAGTCCACATCTGTGTCGAAGGTGGCCATGATCAAGAAGCCACCGGGACCACGGACCTGGGAATGCCAGTTGTGGCATGGGTGGAAATGCAGCCTCGAACAGTGGAGCTCCTGGGCAATAAGTATTTAAAGGGAGCGAAGATTTTCTGCAGTGTCACCTATTGCTAAACCTACAATCGATTAGGATATGATCTGTCAACAAGATGTTCCGCCAAACTTAAAGATCCCTGAGGCGATTTTGGCTCTACTTAGTACTCCAGAGAATACAGAAATTTTACATATTGTCCCTAATCTTGCGGGGGCACACAAACTATCAAGACACGCTAACAAGATTGGCAATGTCTCGGCGCATAAATAAAGCAAGGAGAATTGCAAATCTAAATACTATGTGGCCCGAGGTAATGGGGAAGGCAGCACGCAATCTCCCAAGTTACCAACCGCCCGGAAATCATCTCCATTAAGCGAGGTTATCGCGCGGGATGATTAGGCTTTCGGGGAAGTCAAAGCGGGGCCGGGGAACGGGACGAACAACTCCCAGTACTCCGTCAGATAATGCCCTAATACCCCCCAATGTGCTCCGGAGTATGTACGGAATTACTATTGACGGGGATGATAAGTCCATGGAAAAGCACTGGCTGTCATCAGGGGCCATGGAAATACGCTAAAGGTCCGCTCAATGATCGACCCTGCTCAACCATTGGAAGAACCTCAACATTGGAAATGCCGGACGGGAACCGAAGGATTCGTTCTAGTGCGAACGGGCATGAGTAGTGGTTTTACTAGTCAAATGCTATCATCTGGACCAATGGTATGTGCACAGCACCGCACGGCCTGCAAAGCTATGAGCTTTAGATAGCTTTTGAACTAATAACCCCCATGCTTACCCCGGCACGAGTCATTCCCCCCACACCTTGCCAGTATGTAAGTTCACTAACGGTCTAACCCCATGGCAATGGGCGAACTAAGTCTAAATTTGCTTGATAGCGCCGCATCGGTGCCTCGGTCATCTGCCAATCCAGCATATCTAATTTCCGACTAACCCAGGCGAAAAGGAGACCAGCACGCACGCGAGGAAAGTGGCGGGGCAGTGGAAAAGGGTTGTTAACTCGTTAGAACTTGGAAGGTGGAAAGTTGGAACCCCTCGCAAGAATATGACAATTTGTGGGGCATTCGATGGCGAGATAAGTCTTAAAAGGCCATCAGTTCCGATTGTAGTGCTTACTCGCCGGATATTCCCCTAGTCTTCTCCCTGACGGTTGAACCCATCCAAACTACCATGGCTACTTCATCCGTGTCTGCAATTCTGTCCAGAATTGCGTCTTCCAGCACAGCGTTTAATAACAATGAAGCCGGTTCAAGGGAAGCCCTGATTGAACACAGCCGTGCGTTGATTGCAGCCTTAGAGATTCCCAGTGAATTTATACAGCGCACCTTCTGGGCAGAAGTGAGTGGCCATTGCATTTTCATGAAATCCTCTGATGCCTTGCCGTTATGATCCTGACACATACGCTGAATCGCAATATTAACTTGCGTTGGACGATAGCCAGCTCAATCAGCCATCATCCGTCTCGCCGTCGACGTTAGACTTTTCCAACACTTGCAGGAAGCGGGCGATGCAGGCCTAACACCTGACGCTCTAGCCCAGAAGACCGGGGTCGATGCCGTCCTTTTATCACGCCTTGCAAGACATCTAGTTGCGACGAATCTGCTCGCCTTCCACGACGGAGCCTTCCACGGCACAAGGCTGAGCAACGATCTCGCAGCAGAGAACTTCCAACACAGCATCTCCTTCTGCTATGACGCGTCCCGCCCTTCGTTTAACATATTCCCGAAGTATTTCGAGAAAACCGAATATAAATCCCCAACCCTGGGTGGAACCGACGGTCCCTTCCAGGAAGCCCACAAGACCCAACTCCCGTTCTTCGAGTGGCTTGTCGCAACTCCGCCGCACCTTCAGCATTTCGACTCCTTCATGAGTGCGTATCGAGCCGGCAAGGTTGATTGGCACGAATTCTACCCGGTGACAGAGCGAGTGATAGCGGGCTTTGATTCCTCCCTGAGTGATGTTCTCCTCGTTGACGTCGGCGGTGGAAGAGGCCACGATGTCGCTACCTTTGCCTCACATTATACTTCTCGTCCGGGCAGAATCATCCTCCAGGATCGCGAGCCTGTTATCGCGGGCGTAGTAGCTAACGACGCAGTGCTACCCTTCGAAGCGCAAACCCACAACTTCTTCACGCCACAGCCTATCAAGGGCGCACGAGCCTACTTCCTTCACTCCATTCTCCACGATTGGGGTGATGACGACGGCGTCAAGATCCTGAAGAATCTGGTCCCGGCACTGGAGAAGGGATATTCTCGTGTTTTGTTGAACGAGATTGTCGTAAACGAGGAGAAGCCTACACTAGCGGCGACGAACATGGATATGATGATGTTGGCACATTTCGCAGTCAGAGAAAGAACGGAGGCAGACTGGAGAAATATTCTGGCGAAAGCTGGATTGAAGGTGGTCAATATCTACAACTATCCCGGGGTTGCGGAGAGCTTGATCGAGGCGGAATTGGCTTGATGGGGCATATGCTTTGCTGAGAAATGTCTCCTTCGTACAACGTATCCGACTTTTAATGTGTATATAGACGGAAATTCATTGGTTCTTGGTCAAACTTGTTGAATGTCTCTAAGGAGTTTAGACCCCCGATATATATATCGAATTTTCTCTACTATAATAACACCGCTGTCGATAAGGAGAAGGAAGCAGCGATAGCGATATTGATTTCGATCTCCCCTGTACTGATGGCAGCAATACTTCAGGGTAAACATCCATATCACGGGAAATTGTTCCGTGTCACCACTAGCCAATCAGAGGCCTGTGTGCATTGTACAGAAAGCTAACCCTTTTCGATCGGATTTCCGATGAAACTGGAAGGGAACTCCGCGATCAAAAACAGCGGCATTTCTGCATGGTGGGCTATGCTGGGACGTTTCGATAAGAAATTTTCAAAAGGACGCATTTTCTGGACAAGTTTCCTCTAACGCAGTTGTGTTATATAGTCCACCACTTCCGGCCAGTTCCTAAACCACTCCAAAACCGGAAGAATAAGCCTAAACTGCGACTCTTATTCGCATGCCACGGAATAACCCAGGTTAGTAAAGCGATGTCAAATCGAAAACAACTATTCCAAAGTCCAGCCCTAAGATCTACACTCCAGATACATCCCTCGAAGTCCTACGCTCAGGCATCATTACAATCATGATTAAAGACGCATCCGCACATATCCAATACCCTTCAGAAAACAACAAGCCTTCCGAGGATGGGGGATTCACCGTCCACTGCAAAGATCTCGAATGGCTACCACTCGCCCCCAAAGTCTTCATCAAAATAATCAAGACTGTTCCCGAAACAGGCGAATATTCAATCATGGTTCGGGCTGAAAAAGGCGGGGTTCTTCCTCGACATCGGCACCTTGACAGTGCCGAGATATACGTTATGAAGGGTAGTGGTGCGCATCCTCAGACAGGTAGCTTTGCTGAAGGAGACTATGTTTCTGAAAGCAAAGGAGCAACTCACGACCCTCTAGTGTTCGAAAATGCCACGGAACTCTTGATGGTCAGCAGGGGGCCTTCAATGTTTCTGGATGATGACGGCTCAGATTTGTACATGATGGATGTGGCGATGCTAGAGAGGATGACTGGGGGCAGAGATTAGGTTTTTACACTATGTGAAAGTCCCTGCTTTCCTTGTCTGGCCTTTGTGTCCTGTGGACGTTAGCTAATTTGATACCGCAGTCACATTTACTGGTCCTCGTTAGAATGGCGCAGCTGGACTTTGTCTGCATCATTGATAGTGTATACGCTGGGGCTGCTTTCACGTTGTTATCACCATAACACTGACTAGTAGCAACAGATCTGGCGTTTCTATTTTACGTTTGATCAACCAGTCAATCAATCAAGATTCTATAAGCCTCTTAGAAACCAATTATTGAATATTTAGCTGTATACGTAATTTAATAATAATATAGAATTGATAAAATAAAGAACAGCATTCTTTCAAGCCTTTGCGTAATGTACAAGTAAATATCGGTCAAATAGTCTGCACGCTCATGACATATACCAACTAAAACTACACCACCCGCGTACAACCCGGCGCAATAGCTTCCAAGATCTCCACAAGCTCTCCCCAGACCTTGATCTGTGTCTTCTTCCCTTCCTCGCTGCGAACAAACGGAGACAAGGCGCCATTATCCACCTTCCCATCCGTCATATACGCCCCATGGCTCTCCTCCCCACTCGCAGCCCCGGCCACGAGCGTCCTACTCCCCACCTCCGTCGACCTGGCAAACACCAACTGTAAGAACGCAAACGCCAGTCCCATTTCCCGGCCTAGTCGCGAATGACAAAACCCCGGATTCACCATATTAATGACCACCGAGTCCCCAGCCCCCTGCGCCACCATCTCGCGCAGCAAAAGCACCTGCAACAGCTTCGATGTCTCATACCTCTCCGGCATATTCGCCCGATCTTTATCATCCAAAGCTTTAAACACATTCTTGGCACTCCGCTCCGCAAACTTCGTCCACCCATGCACTTCACTAACCACGGTCGTCAACCGCGGCTTCGTACCAGGATGCAACCTGGCGCTCTTCCGCAGCGTCGGCAACACCAGCAATTCCAATAGAATAGTATTGATCACATTCACTGTTATAGTCCGCTCATGGCCCTCAGCAAGTTGAAAAGTACCGGTTGCTATCGAGGCATTGGCAACGAACACATCCAGACGCGGGAGCTGGGCTACTTCCTTCGCGAACGCGAGGACGGATTCGTGCGACGCCAAGTCTAGCTCCCATACTTCGCAGATGCCGGTGGTGCCGGTGGACGTCTCGATGGATTGTTGGGCTTCTTCGCCGGCGGTGCGGTTGCGGACGGCGAGGATGACTTTCGCGGCGCCAAGGCGCGTGAAGTGTCGGGCTGCTTCGAAGCCGAGGCCGACGTTTGAGCCGGTGATTATGACCGTTTGGTTGGTGAATGATGCTGTCGGGTAGGGGGGGGTGATGAAGAGTTGGGAGTAGAGGAAGTCGTAGCTGAAGAAACCCATTTTGAGATGGTGGAGAGGGAGGTTTGTGGGATGGATGGTGCAGTGTCTGGTGGGGATGGGGGTGTGAGACTGAGGATAATGGGATATATAGGCTATAGCTGGAGGTATATGTTCATGTATGGACGGACTTAAGGGAGGGATCAGATTTACATAAACCCGGAGTTACTCTATATCCTCCACGATGTATCCTATCGGTTCCTAGTTAAGGGCCACGATTCTCAAAGATGGTTTTACTGGGGCGGGTCTATTAGCGTGGCATATCTGGGTTAAACTCTAGGCATAGGTAGACATTAGTCAATGATATGGGCAAGGCATGTATAGTAGCGAAAGTCTAAGAATAAGCTCTGGTGGCAATTAGCCTCGCATGGATGCTCGGTGCTTAAGCTAAGGTTTACTCGTCCTCCCGTCCGAGAGCGGAGTTTACAAGTTTAAATGCGTGCTATCACGGAGATAAGAATAAAGCCGGCCACGATGAACTTCACCTTAAATTTTTAACGTTAAGTTCTGCACAATCTCGGCCCACGCCCCGCATCGCATCTAGTTAAATCGATTGAACAGTCTCATTGCCACTATTTCTGGATTTGTAATCCGGTACCTTGAAGGTCTTCCCAAGGCACTGTGAGGAAGCATGAAATTGCTCTTTTAGCAAACTGTCCCGGGCTCAGGAGGCGGGTACGTATTACAGTCAGTTCCTCTGTATCGCAAATATTCTTGGCCATGATGGTGATCCAGAGAGCTGCCGTGATTACCGTTCCAAAATAGGCTGAGGTGGTCGCTGACAGACCCATCTCTGTTCTACGCGATTATTCTATCCTTGTAAAAACCGCCTGCGTGGCTATAAACCCAATAGACCCTACAATTATTACTGAACATAACATAGTATAGCACGTAAGGGTTTACAAACCGAGGGCTCGGCACTCAGTTCCGTCAATTTAGTCTTTAGTATCCTATAAGTCATTTATTGGCAGTATCCCATATTCCCATATTTAATAGTAGCTATATCACTCAACTCTATATCTCTTTACCTATCCAACTCTTGTGAATCTCATCTCTACTAAAAGTTCCTCTACCAGGGAATATCCTTTCCATCATACATGTCCCATCCAGGAGCAAAAATGTTCTTGAAACACCCGTTCGAGTCACTCTCTGCTTTGTCGACGACATTAAGAACCGCGTGTGCCCCCTCTTCCGCGGTGAGGTGAGCATCATCGCCACCCATATCAGTTTTCAGCCACTGCACCGGTTAGCAAGCACAAATACAAATCACTAATTTCATTTGCACAACTTACACCGGGACTAACAGCCAGGAAGGTAAATCCCTCATCCTTATAGGACATGGCATATTGCACAGTAAGTGCGTTGAGAGCAGCCTTACTAATCTTGTAAGCTGGGCAGTTGGCAAAGCTAGACATCTCTGCATGCGTCATTGACGCATAAACCGTCGAGCTAGTTTGGTAGACGCTTGTCAGTCAAAGGGATCTCAGTATAGATGAACATAACTCACATATTAGCAACCTTCTTCGACTTTCCTATTCTCAAGAGAGGTAGAAAGGCGCGTGTTACATTATGTGTTCCAACCACATTCACGGTAAGTTGGTAGTCGAGATCGGCCCTTCAATTCTGGTTAGACTTCCCTGGAATTAATTATGGTATCTTTGAATAAAATCCTCACATATTTTCAGTTTTCCCCTCCAACCACGAATGAACACCAGCACAGTTAATTAGAACATCAACTCCCTTCTCGCCCACGACTGATCCCACCTTTTCAACACAACTTGAGACACTGGCCTCCTTGGACACATCCAGCGGGATGAAAACGACACGACCAGATTCCCGTGCGACGATCTCATCTAACGCAGTGCTAGATTTCCGAGTAGCAGCGATCACGAGACTGACCTCTGTAGGGTCCCGAGATGCCAGTTCTTTGATCATTGCCAGTCCCAGCCCGCGGGAGCTTCCGGTCACGATGTAGATTGCCATGTTGATATTGGGTGGAAATAAATAAGTTTGCGAGATAGATGGATATGTTTTAGTTACTTTAGTATTCGGGCTAGTTTATATACACGACACTAATGCTGGAAATTAGTCATGGGCCGATTCTCGATTACTTCTCCAGCCTCCCCATATGTGCCGGGGTGGATCCCGACTATGATATTAGAACGGCGGTTATGAATCCCGAGGAGGAGATACTACTATCCACTAGTGGTAAATTACCAAGTTATGGCCATATTAACTAGTTGTCTTCAAGAACTTAAGATAGTTGGGAAGTCAGGGTTTCATGCTCGGCTATCAACTTATCCAACGGTCGGATTTCCGAGCGAAAACGGCTTAGCGTCTCCGGGCTGGTCGGAGTATGAAGAATTTTGCGTCCGTTATTAATAATTCTTGAGAATATGGTCGCAGAATATAGTCTACGTGCTCATGCGGTGTAGATTGGTTATCTCTGAGGTCAAGGAGGGTATAATAGAAAGTAAAGTGCTAAGCTTAGATGGGAGATGAACCAGATGGTGACAGGATGCTTCCTTACGAGGCTTTCCTGGTTCCCATATGGGAAGCATTGCTCAAATGTTGCATGATATGCAGACGTAGTAATGAAAGATATGCATATAAATGGCTTATAAAGCAAGTAAAAAGCCAGAGGCATTGGATCGACCAAAATGGTGACAAAAAAACAATGAGAGGCAAAGTCAGGTGACACGACCACTGCGATGGCTTCCAAAGCGGGTACAACCAGAACATGGACTTGCTTTATCTGATAAACCAATGCTGTTTCATTAATTCCCAACTCGGGTTTGAGAATCTAAGAATTCAGGTCAATCGGGGCCTTCATATCCGAAGCTAGTAATTCCCAGCAAAACCGACCTAACTTGCATAGGTAGAGTGACATCATGCCGGAGGATATTCTGCCTGCAGTGAGATTAGCCCCATCTCTGCTTTAGCTTACATGGTGTTCGCTCCCATCGCCCAAGGTACCAAAGCTAATGTGATGTAGTGTGATCTTTGTTATTCAAGAAAGGTGAAATGCAATAGGCAGCGCAATTGCGCCAATTGTGTCGATGCTGGAGTTGCATGTCAACGCCTTCGCCCCAGCCGGGCATTGAAGCAGAAATTCTCACCAAGGTATGGGTACTTCACCTGTTACAGCTGGTTTTCTTCTTTTTTTACCTTTCTTTGTACGCTCCTTGTAAGGGATATTTCAGTGACTAATGAGTGTCCAGACTCCCGGAAGAAAATGTCTTTCGATTAGAGGGAGCGACATCAGATTTACAGAGGTGTGAACTGTCGCTCATTGTCAGGATATTAACCATTCTGTTACTTACCTGTTCTAGTGAGAGCTCGAATATCTCGGCCAGCATCCCTGAACAAGAAGAAAATGCTACTGCGAAGCGAAGAAAGCTAGACAGTCGTGGCAACGCAAATACTCGTAATGAGTGTAACCCGGCTGCTACCCCGGACAATTCAACCCACCATGCGCAGCAGGCCAAGCTTGTAATACAGATTGAGGTTGATGGTAGACAGCTGAGTAGAAGGCATCTGAGCAGCGAGCGGCGAAGGATTTTCGAGTCGGCTGTGAAGTTAGTTGACAGAATGTCAAAGGGAGAGAACTTGGATTTGCAGGAAACTATCGCCCCAGGCGAATCTGCTCGTGAACTGCTCGATATTGAAGTTCCACAGACTCCTCCGGCGGAAATATTGTATATGCTTCTTCCAGGTAGCCATACACGCTCTTACCGTCTTTAGTGCGTGCTAATAGTATCTAGAGCCTGTTATGGGCGATGGACTACACCATATTAGATGGCCCGACCATATATCCGACAAAGCTTTTGAAAGAATGATGACAAGTCTTCTAGATGGCGACTGCAGGGGACAGCTTTTCTATCAATATAGTATCTGTGTCTATGTGAAAGCGATGTTTCACCTATATCAATTGGCGAGGCGATCGACAAACCCATCGGTAAAGAAGCAGCTTCAGAAATCGAAACGAACATACGAGGCTGCTGCGCTTCAAGCACTCAAACATATCAATCTTATGTCGGCGCCCAGCTTGTCGCTAATCCAGGCTCTCATATCAGCTGTAAGTAATTTTGCTGAGCGAAACAATTCAACTCACTAACGGGAATTCTAGGCTCTGTTAATGCAACACACCACCAACATAAGCCAATGCTGGCTGCTAAACTCGTATGCTGCTCGCCAGATCATCTCTCTGAATTATCATAAGCCCTGTTATCCGCCTTCTCAATCAGGCTGTAACGATGAGATTCAAAGTGCCGTATACTGGTGCTTTTATCTCGACCGAACTACGAGTGCTCTTCTAATACGACACCCCTCGTTACCAGAAGTGCATGCGCCTCCTACAAAATTCATTGTTACTAATATGTCATCACCCTATAATCGGGTATTATTCGTGCTTCTAGATCTAGCAAAAGTTCAAGATACATTGTTAGATGTAACACTGAACGGGGGCGACAAATCCAGGTCTCGGATCTTCGAGATCTTTCAAGACGTTCAAGAGCGGATGGATAGGGTTTATTCAAGTATACAAGAAGTAAGCTTTGGATTTCAGCATCTTATAACAGCTACCCAGCTAATATTACCTTAGAGCCGAAAGGCAATCTCTGGTCCAGCATTATATGACTGGGTAGCTGCCGACTTTAGCTATTATGCAATTTATGTTGATATGCTTCGAACACGGCTAGGCTACGACGGCAGTCCAGCAACTCACTCCGACTGCTTAGTGTACTCGAGAAGAGCGCTCAGAGCATTTCAATACCTCCAAGAACATGCCGATCATATGCCGGGATTTAATGACCCAGAGCCCTCTTTTCTGACATGGTCAGCCGCCTTCCTCGATATTAATGTAAATAGGAGAAGCTAATATCGACTCGACATATAGGACTATCGCCTTATACCCGGTAGCCCCCTTCTTCGTTGTCTTTTGTAATATTATCGCCACTTCGGATGTGTCCGACTATCGGTTAGTACAACAAATAATCAAGGGGCTGTCACAATTTAAAGCTACCCCGTACTTAGCGCGACTGTTAAGTTTGTTGACGTCTCTCTTACACCTTTGTGATCCCTTGGTTCAAAACATGAATTCCCAAAGCCGGCAATCGCATATCGCGAGGAAAGATCACTCATCTACACATGCGCCGCACAACCATGTACCGAACCACGCAACAAATGCCCCCGTCTTTGAAACAGAGCTTGCGGAAAGTTTAGCACCAGAGTTATCTTCGGCCGCGTACGCCACATATATGAGCGCAGATATCTCGGACCATGGATTGGGAGACGCATCCTACCCAATGGCAGACGATCTCATGTGGCAGTTGGTCAATAGCCAATTTCCCTACAGTTGGCTTGAGACGGATGCTATTTTTGATATTTTTTGATAAAGTTTGTGTGGCTTCTTTTCGCTTCGTCGGAAATACGGCATGATCCCAGATGTGCCCTTAGGGCATGTTATGTACAACAGTCACGATTTCTATCTACCAGCAATGGTATTAATGAACGGGAGAAATATGATCGACAGTGTGTATCTTCGATTTAACTCTGGCGGTGAATGACATGAATTATCATCGATTGGTTAGAGCGTCAAGCGAGTTCCCTCCATGTGTGGCAACCCCCCATCCATCATCAGGATAGTAACCCTAAATCCCTCAGCGAGCACTGTTTCTCTCGATCCCCCCAATAAGGAAATCCCAGATTGCTATGGACGCTTCAATACCCAACCCTAAAAGACAAGCATCTTCACATAATCCCAAAACAACACTCCGTAAAGCATATCGCGAATAAACTCACCAAACCCTAAATCGATAGATCTCTACTGAGGTGTAACTTTCGAACGCTGATCAAAGCTTCCCAAAAGAAGCACCCCCTACGGTGAGACCCAACCCTGCACAGCTTTCTCGTATACACCCAAAAAGGCCAGGGTCCAGGCACGTTCCAGAAGACAACCATGGAAGTAAACTCTGCATATCACAACCGCATGCAGACTAACCTCGTCTATCCACTTTAGGCATCCGCATTTCAGAAAAGCTTATCAATGGGCACGGACGGGCTGTCGTGTCACCCGATTTGGTAGAGCTGATGTGTGGTTCTGCCGTACCAGACTTGAGATTTTCTTGACGACTTATTTCTTCCGCGGTGGAGAGTCAGGGTTTTCCATGGGGGTTTTGTCGTGGGTTTGGAGATACTTTGTGCTCTCCGTGGGTTTCTCTTCTTTATAATTGACAGTCTTACTTTTGATATAGGACATGATATAGAGTAACCATTGTGACTCTTCTACTATCCAGAGTGGGAATGAAAACAGGAACAAAGACCGCATCCAGTAAAACCATGTATCCATACAAAAGATGAGACCCAAAAACATAATAAAATTAAATAATTATTATTTTTATCCAAGACAAGCTTTCTAGTTAACCTTAATTGGAAATTTTAAATCGCGCATGTCAGCCACGTGTGGCTCTTGACTGGAAAAAATTCTCTCTATATATGCCGCATGAGTAACATAAAATCTATTCCCCTCCTCCTTTGCTTATCTCCTCCATACTAACCCTGAGCAACAGAACTTCGTGCTCTAGTATTGATCTCCATCATCCAGTTTCCAACTCTACATCGATGAATAGCCCCGTTGCAATCCTATGTCCGATTATCCCTGCGCTGGTATGCCGTAACCGCAGACCGGATGCTTGCTTGCTAGGACTTTTGGAAGAGCCTCGTCCTCCTTAAGACTAGCTTCTGGCTATACATGCCTTGAGAATACTCTGTGATGGGGTAATGGAATAGATCGTTCATTGTAGGTTGACGGCTGGGCTTGGGATACTTACCAGTGCTGATCTGTTCAGTTGAATAGATTCATCGTCAGTCGCTTTGTTCGTTGCATCCTCGGTGTTCTATTCGTCGCATTAAACTCAAAAGTCCGAAAAAAAGAAAGAGAAGGAAAGAGAGAGAAAGAAAAGAAAAGAAAACTCAGAAAACCACAACAGTCCAGATGGATCGCTTCATGGACATCCTGCGCAAACCAGGCGCGAAGCCTGAGATCCAGGGCGTCGCTCCGACGCAACATGTGATTGGGAAAGAGGCCCTCGACTACTCAGATGTTAAGGGCTATATACCCAAAAGCAAGCCCGGGATGCTCGACCGCTGGCTTGACTTCGTCGTCCGAGTCTCTGGCTCCGAGCCCGTCTTCTTCCTGATCCTCGCGGGCCTCCTCACCTGGGCTTTACTCGGGATCAAGTACGGCTCGACCGATAGCTGGCAGGTCCTGATCTCCGACATCCAGGCCATCGTCAGCTACATATTCGACTCCTTCCTCGTGAGACAGCAGCTGAACGCATACGAAGAGGAGATGATAGTAGCCGCTGAGCTGGAGTCCCGGATCCTCAGCCACAAAAGGATGCTCGAGAAGCTTCATCAAAAGCTCAATGCAGAAGACGAAGCGAAAACCACCCACCTAGTCCATCTAGTCAAGGCGCACCAGAACGCCCTCGAGTTCGGTACAGAGCTCCCCACGGAGACCCGGTTCGGACGGACCATCACCTGGTTCTCGCATGTCATCGGCCACCTGGGCACCATCACGCTCTTCTGGGTGGGCGTCTTCACCTGGATCGGCCTCGGTCATCGCTCCAACTACAGCGACAAATGGCAACTATACATGAACTCAGCCTCATCCGCCCTAATGGTCTTCATCTTCGCCTTCCTCGCCAACATCCGCGAACGCCACGCAGCCTACACCCGCAGCTGTCTGGACGCAATCTTCCAAGTGGACTCCTCCCTCGAAACCAAGCTCCGCCAACTAACCGACGACTCGCTCCCCAACGACCTCGTCATCATCCCAGCACCACGGGTCAGCAAAATCCAACGCGCAATCTTCTACTACGCCGACTTCGTCGGCACCCTCGTCGGGATCGCCATCCTGGTAGCAGTAATCGTCATCTGGATCGCCATCGGCCCCCTCCTGCACTTCGATTCCAACTGGTGGCTCCTCATCGGCACCTATGCAGGCCTCATCGGAATGAACGACGGCTTCGTGCTCCGCAACATGCAAGCCCGTCTGCGCTGCTACGTCGACGACCAATTCGCCCGCGGCATCACCGCCCAAGACGCAAGCCTTTTCACGACCGCCGGGATTCCCGCGCCCCGCGACGAGGAAGTCGTCGGTGGTGACTCGCTGACGCAGCGCGTGTCGGAGACGATGGGGCGCGTGTGCGCGCATGAGATCACGGTGGTGTTGGGGGTTGTGACGATCTTGGGGTTGGTTGCGGGCGCTAGTGCCATGCGATGGACCATGACGGGTCAGTTGTTGTGTAATGTGCCGCCCAGCTTGATCGAGTCGTTTTTCATGATTGTGTTGGTGACGGGGCACAATTCGGCCGACGATCGGAAACGGGTGGATCTGCGAAATACGTATGCGAGGCGGTTGCAGCTGCTGGGTTATGTGAATGCTGTCCAGTCGATTTGGTGAGTTGGGACTCCGCTGGAAGGGGTAGGGATAGGGTGATAGTTAAGGGGAAGGGGGGGGGGGGGGGGGGGGCGGTTTGGATTTGGTAATTGAATTGCAAGTAACTAGGCAGTGCAAGTTTGTACGGCGTATTATGTACAAGTCTCGCACAGAATGAATGTTTGCTTTTCTTTAGTATTATTATTTTGTCCAGGTTTGTATTTATTCGTTCATTTTTTTATTTATTTATTTTTTCTGTTTAATTTTTATTCATTTGATTTTTATTTATTTTTCCCCTTTCAAACTGTTTCCCTCAAAGGCTTCCAAGGTTCATGAATCCACACAAGAACGGTAATCCACCCGCCGATCACCCACTCACTCCCTTATATTAAAAGAATAGAAAAAGAAAATCTAGAAACCCGCAATAAAAAAAGGACTCACCTCAAACCCCCCCCCCCCCAAACAACCGTTCAGCGGTACTATGCGTTAGCAATCAATAATTCAGCAAATTCTGCGACGTCATAGAAAGTCCCCACTCAACGTTCCCCCCTAATTAAAATCCCAGATTTACCGAGAATCTCTGGCACTCGGCCGGTGAACACGTCGTTCTAGGAGTTCTAGACACTGGGTCGGTTTTTATATCGGCTACTCCGTGGATGTTACTCGAGTGTGTTTCTGTTGGCGGGGGAACTAACTATCCGCTACTATTTAAAATTTAGAGGATATGTATGAAGCTATCTTGGTATGTTTGGGGTGGTTTGTAGGGGGGTATGCGCGAGGTACATACACTACTACAACTACCTCCATGTATAGGGAGGTTGTGTTTGTGGGTTTATTTTATTGGCATAGTCAATGGCAGAATTAATTATTTGGGTTGGATTTAATGCGTTGATGTTATGATCATAGAGCTTACTGATAGAGCTGCCAGTGTATACTACTACTACTACTACTACTACTGCTGCAAAATATATATCCGGCATGACGAGTACATTGGAATCTGGACTCCAAACAAGGACTGGAATTATTCCACACGTAGTTGATTTCACTGTCTAATTATACACAGACATCGTACACTTTCACCTAGAGAAACAAACTCTGCTCAGTAATACTCATTGTGAGTTGATTCTCTATTTAACTGACAGTTGAACCATTGAACCCCAACCGTTGCGCAACACCATTGGAGAACTACAAATCAACACAGACACAGAAAGCCCTAACAAATGTAATGACAGGGTATTCTATCCCATTTTCCTTATCAAATAGAATAACCTCGAATCCCTCCGAATAGTTAAGTCTCACAGAATACTACATTGTTTATAATCCAACGGACATAAATGTCGGATATAAATCCATTTGTAAGCACCACTCGACCGCCAAGACCAAATGAGCAAGTCATGATGGCATCAACAGTGATATTCTATCTTTTCAATTATAAAATTAGGAGGAAAGTCTAAGAGAATCATAACTGACCCACGTTGAATGGTATTAATTTGAATTGACTATCGTACATCTATAAAGTCCAACGAACAAGCAGAAGCGAGGAACAAAACGCGACCGAGAAAAATGACCAAGGTCGGCATCTTCCCCGCCGCAGGTGGCCTGGGAACCAGCATCATCAACCACCTCGTGAAACTCATCCCCGCCGAACAACTTATCCTCATCGCTCGGAAACCCGACTCCCTGGCTGAAGTGAGTCGGCTGGGCGCGACAGTGCGACGCGCAGACTATGAAGATCCCTCGTCGCTGGAGCGCGTATTTGATGGGGTGGACGTGTTGATGTTGATTTCGTATGCGTCGTTTGAGATTCAGTATCGCGTGGAGGTGATTCCTCTTTCTATCTTTCCCTATCTATGAGAGATAATCTGGGCAAGAACTGACGACAGCACAGGCCCATCGGAATGCCATCGACTTCGCGCGTCGCAGCGGCGTAGAGCATATCTTCTACTCGTCGCTCGCGTTCGCGGGCGATCTGACCGACTCGAGCGTGGCGCATGTTATGGGCGCCCATCTACGAACCGAGCAATATCTGGCCGATCTACAAGCGCAGAGCAACATTACCTACACAGCAATTCGAGAAGGTCTCTACTCGGAGTCATTCCCGATCTACACGGCCTGGTTTGATCTGGCACATCCCGTGGATGAAATTACGATCCCGCACTCTGGTGCCCCGCCGGGGGTCACGTGGGCCAAACGCGACGAACTCGGCGAGGCTACCGCCAACTTACTTGCCTCGTACGTGCAGGACCCACGGTCCTTTCCATACGTGAATCGGCTGCTGTTGCTCTCGGGACCGCGCGAATATTCGCTGCAGGAGACAGTAGAGATCCTGGGTCGTGCCGTTGGACGGACAGTTCGGATTCGCGAAATCTCGCCGGATGAGTATGCGGCATTGTCGACCCATGGCACGAAGCATACCTATCATGGAATTAACCTGGCGAGAGAGTGGGCGACGGCGTGGGATGCGATCCGGCGCGGGGAGACCGCGGTGGTGACGCCGCTATTGAGGCAGATCTTGGGCCGCGAGCCAGAGGACTACGAGACGACGATTCGGACATTAGCCCGGGAGGTGAGGACGCAGGAAGCAAGTTAATTAGGGCTGATTTGGAGGAGCCTCCGGTGTTCTGACTAAGGAGGGTTGGGTGAGAGGGGGTTATATATAGCACCAGGTCATGTGATTCCATCGCGGGGTTGCCCTCACCTGGAACCCCCCGATCAATGTTACGGATCGCCACGAGCGCAAACACCACCACCATGCATCCTACACACCAAATAAAGATAGTCGGCGATGGAGGACACTCGTCACATCGTCCGTAGCAGTTTTTCTGGCGATGTTCAAGAGTTCTTGGTCGCGTTGTAGATACACCGCTGGATCGTCGGCACAGATCTCACCCGGCCGCCAGGGACCGCCGCATCTGAACCACGGCATCTAGCAGTAGCGCACCCGAGCTAGCCTAGCCAACGGCTGACCTCAACTTTGGATCCGGGGCAAGGTGCAGTTCCCCCCGCTGATGGTCAGAGCTTCTGGAACTCAATCTGAGTTCGCAAAAAAAAAAAAAATGCCCCTCTCGTACCTGGATCTTCCAGAACCTGCACCACGACCGTAACCACCAGTCGACCGTCGTACAGACCTTGCTGAATGTCATCCTGACCGCCGTTTCCCAGATCTCGCGTGGTTTCGCTTGTTCTTCAGCCTCTGCGTCCGGGATTTGGATCTGGGACAGGAGGGTGAAGATTACCCCGCGGCTCGTAGGATTAGGGCTGCAGCCATGGAGATCCACCCGGCTCTCCCCAGTGTTTTGGGTCACCACACCACGATCAGTCTATGCATGTCATTATCCAGTGCAGAATAAGAGTCTCATGGTGGCATGGCGGGATAAGGTCTGTAACCCATCACGGCAGATAGGCTTCTTCAGCCATTTCATGACCATTGCAGCCAAGCCCTAATTCGAAAGTCAGCGCTACCGCACCAAAAAAAAAAAAATTCACCAAATTAAAATAATAATCAAAATCATTAAAAAGAGGGGTAACAAGAATGGATAGGGCTGAACCCCTCCATCAGCAAACATACTGTAACCTCAGATACCAACGTGTTGACTCGGACCCCTCAATTCCGCCTCACCAACGCCTGAGACAGATCTCGTCCGAATGGAAAATCTTTCACTGGCAGGTGACAACCTCGATTAATTCTCACCCGATTTGATGCATCTTCTCGGGCGATATCATCGGGAGTTTTCGAGACATGATCGAAATGACCAGTATCAGAATGGTTGGTGATAGATTGCAAAAGTGACGAATGACGCAACTTGGCGGGAGTTCAGCAATGAGATGCCGGATCACACCACTGGGAATCGATAGGAAAAAGGAAGAGGGCCAGAGGGAAAAAAAAAAAAAAAAAGAAAAACCAAAAAAGAAAAAGACCCTCTCAGTCCGGCTTCCGAACGGGGGAGCCGAGGGGGTACTAGACTTAGTAGACTACCGTCTGCGGGTTAACTTTACTACGGGAGGTTAATTATTAGCATTTTTTTTGATCCACCCTGTCATCGTTTGCCTGGATTGGGTTAGTGTGGAGGACCCAATATTTGGATTTTGAGGTATGGAAGTAGTAGTAATAGTCTGTACTCGGGGTATTTTTTTGAGTTGTGGACTGTGTGTGCGTGAATGTGTGAGTGAGGAAAGAAAGATAGTATCGATATGTGCTATTCTTAGAGGAAACCCTGCACCCAATAGCCTGAAGACTACTGGGAGGACTTTTCCTAGAGTAGCAAAGGCTGCGAAACACACAGAGAAACCGTCGACGTCGCAAGAGAACCTAATTTTCCGCAGTGACCTCGCTTCATCGCACACGAGGGGTATACTTCCCCTTGTGGAAGGGCGATGCGGACAGTTGACAAGCAACACGTGTGCAGAGCATGGACGGTACATCTACGATCCGAAGTCATCTGTTAGGTCACGAGTCATGGTGGCAGCGTGGAGGAGAAAAATTCTCCGACAGAGGATGCAAGTATCAAGAGAGAGAAAAAAAGGAAAAAAAAAAAAAGGATATGGACACGTTCCTCGGATGAGTGAAAGCGAGGGAGTGATTGGTCGGGGAGGCAATCCCTCCTTAAGGTATCCACAAGCGGATGCCCGATCCCGTCCCCTGGGACTGGACGGCTTGGTCCGTGTGTAAATAGGAGTAGACTTGGTTCTCTTGTGTCTCTGACAGGACCACTAGTACAGTACGAAAGCCTGTTGTTGGGAAGAGAATTACGCAGTGCCTATCCATCTAAGGGGATTGCCAATAAAAGTGTTCTGATTGGAGAATTCGTCACGCTGCAGGGGTGCTGAAGGCGTGATTGAGGTCCTCTCATTGGACCAAGGGACGCTGCATAGTACGTTACATCACTCGCCTGAAGATGATCCGTCATCATCTTACATACCGTACGGAAATGACTGGTTGATATATCAAGATGATGCCAGTTAACCGTAGAACAACAAGGAAGGATCCCTTTCGGATGAAGGGAACATGGCTTTACGAGTGATCGTAAATTAATTACACCAAGAAAAGAAAAAGAAAAAAAAAAACCCAAAGAAAATAGGGAAGAGGAATCTGAATTGAATGAGTACAGCGTCATCACCAAAGTGTAAAAGATTAAGGGAGAGAAACTAATCTGGATGTACCCCGAGTCTAGCAAAAAGGGCAACGGAGTACAGGAAAACGCAAGTAGTCAAGGTCTTGCTCAAACAGGAAATAACCTCGCCTCAGGCTACCTTCGATGGACGGGCAAAATCGGGATAAATTCAATTCCGCCATGGTTTCACTACACACGTAGGAAATCGAAGTGGGATTCCGCATTTTGTCCCATAAAAAAAAAAAAAAGTCCGATTGAAGGCCATGACACGGCCGGATGATCGGCCCCGAGACTCGGCCGGACATCCTCTTGGCGTTGAGCCTTCCGTTTCTTCCCTTCAACGGTCGTGCATCGATCCAAAGTGTCTCCACCTTCATGGTCCCTTTCCTCTTTTTTGCTCCTGACTGGACATGGGAATGACGACTGTCATCGGAGCCGACCGAGTCTGGATGCTGATGATCCGGCTGGGGTGATCTCGGTTGTCCTTCACCGGGCAAATCACTTGTGCTGCATTCTAATAATGTTTTTGGTGGAATTAAGTGCTTTTTTTTTATTATACCGGCCCTAAATTACATCACCGTGTAAAAAAAACTTTCGTTTCCTTTATAAAGAAGCTTCACACTCGCTGCCGTTATTTTATTTTGTCTACCAGATCCACGGTTCTAAGATTAAGACATTTTTTGTGATATTTATTTATATCCATTCCTCTCCCCCCGGTGGCAATATCCGATTCCGATCTATATCTCTATCTACCATACCAACTATATCTTGTCGACCTTCGACTACCACAACGTCAACAACAACCACTACCATCAATGGCATACACTAGAACAGATCCTTCGTTCACCTTGAGTGACGACGAACGCATGTACATGAGCCATCACAGCCCCATGCACCGCCCCTACGATACCTTCCCCGCCCCCAAGGGTCCCGATCCCTTGTCGGCCAACTGGAACTACGACAGTGCCATCGATCTCTTCTCGCTAAACACCATGATGCCCGAGAACTTCGCTCTCGATGTGCCCAATGAGCCTATGGGAGTGGATCCCAAGGATTTCCCCGCCGATTTCTTCGCACCCCCTCCTGATATCAGTGGATTCACCATCTCCAACCATTCGGGCGAAGATGCCGGTTCCATCACTTCGGTAGGTTATGAATCATCGGATATACTCTTGGAACCATGACTAACAATATAGTAGGACCTGGAAAGTGATGATCAGTCTTGGTCTCCTACCTATGCTGCTCCCGCAGAGATGCTTCCTGCCCCCGGGAGACAATCCACCCGCCGCAAGACCACCCCAGTTGTGAAACGCGAGACGACATGGTCTTCCAGTCCTGAACTCGCACCCCAAGAATATCCCACCCACACTTCCCCTCAGGCGACTCCCACATCGCCTCCCGTCAACCGCAAGATGACCCGCACCACGTCGGTTGACTCCAATGCTAGCAATGCCAGCACGGGCCAGACCACGACGGCCACAACAACCAGTGGGCGCAACGCCGCGAAGCGTGCTGCACACAACATCATTGAGAAGCGGTATCGCACCAACATGAACGCCAAGTTTGTGGCCCTGGAGAAGGCCATGTGTGGCGGAGTCCAGAAGTCCAGCAAGAGCGGGTCAGCGTCGCTCAAGAAGTCGGAGATCCTGACCAATGCAATTGCCTACATGCAAGAGCTGCAGGAAGAGAACAAGGCCCTTCAGAAGGAGCTGGCCATGTTCAAACAAAACATGGTCCCCAGCGGGATGTGGCGACATACCAAGGGGGCTGAGACATTTCGCGCTTAATTTTTGATTGTCTTGCGCCTCGCCCTGGTTATGACTGTCATGTTTCTGTACAATACATTACCTTAATGAGTCGAGTACTCTCCATTCGTTGATTGATCGGGTTGGTTGGCGAAAAGGTGTCTGGTCGTGATATACCCAAAAGTTGCTTTTATTTTTATTTTTATTTTTTTATTTTCTTATCTCCTATGTCAACAGTTAGACAATACAATCTCCCACCTTTTGAGACTACACTTGAGACCCATTGAGTAGAGAGCATCTGGTAGAGGATAAGCAAGTAGATACAGAGGTCACACTAGAATTTACCCCTCCTTTGACCGTCCAGCCACACCGACAACTAAAATGACCCCACCAGCCAGTTGTAATGGCGATCAGCAAAAAATCTCCGACGATGCAGCCACATCCCTGCACATCACACCGAACCCTAAATCCCCTGCCTCACTGTGCCCTAACGAAACTCCCTCAACCCTCCATTCCCACCGCCATCACCACCTCCCGAGTTAACGAGTCGTCCCTCAAGGGGACCACTTAGCCCTGTAACAGGATAGACGGATCAACCATCCACCTCCTACGCAAACCAACCTAGCCCCTCCCTCCCAATCTTTCCCTACCCACCCGGCGACCACCAGGGAAGACAATCCGTCCAGTTTGCAGAAGTTCTAGACCGACGTCAGAAGAAAATCTCCGACAATATCCATAAGGCACCCGCTAAGCTAAAACGAACTCCATTCATCCGGTCTAGACCAAGCGGGTCCATCGCCTTGTTTGATTCCTTCCGCCTTTTTATTGGCATTTCCAACTCATATTATTTTTAAGATTAAGAAAAAAAAAAAAATCTGATAATCATAGTTTTCTATTTCGCTGGCTCACAACGGCCCGGTTCCGCCTCGGAAATGACACGTTTGCTCTCCGTCCAGTCCATGCAGGGTCGAGTGGGTATATGACATGATTTATTGTGATTCAGACTGTTCTTACATACATGCGCACACATTCCTTTTATAGATGACATTTAGTCATTGGGTTGTCTGCCTTACCTTACTTTAGGTACTTGGTACATTACGGGGTGTGTATGTACCTATCCATCTTGCTGAAACTGATACGGGCAATCGAGTAGATCGTCGGACATCTTTCGGCCGATGGTTTCTCGTGTTTACACTTGGCCTGACCATGTCGGGTACCTTGACTGTGACTGGGATTTGTTAGTTGGTGATATTGTATGATTTGTAGTTTTTGGTCTCTTGACAGTGTGTCCCGGAAGTGTCTGGATTGGATGTGATAGTGATCGGGAGTGATGATCGATCATTATTCGGGGTATTCCTTGTGATTTGGAAGAGCGAATCCTTTGTAGATATTGCTTTTTCGGAGCTGAGACTTTTTTTTTTTTGTCGATGTGTGTAGCCTTGTAGCATATAAATGGGTTATTTTAGACCCAGATGTTTTCCGCTGTAGGACATTGACGTCAGATTAGGATTTTGAGTTAGGTGTTACAATTTGGTTCTATTTCCTTTCCTATTGAAGATAGGGAGAGAAAAAGAGAGAGAGAGAGAGAAATGTCAAAGACGACGTCTTCTTCGTGCGTGAATATCCCCCTACTTCCAAGATTTGTCCTGTGTATTCTACTCTGGTACTGATAGCATGTCCGTCTACCAGAACTAAATCAAACCCCACGACCACTACAACGATAGTTACGGGATCGACCCCTAACACTGATTCCCTGAGTACCTCATATCAGACTACACGGAACTATGCCGAGCTGGACAACATCTCCCGGTATCGGGAGAGTCCGTCCTGGATGGAGCCATATTATGCCACCGAGCGCATGAAGGATAGGGAGGGTCATCGGAGACGTATTGGGGATGTTATTCAGGGGGTGGAGGGTATTTTGGGTCTGGAACGGAAGCGGTCATAGGGGAATTTTCTCGTATGGTGTGTTGGGATGGGGCTATAGAGGTTATACACTTCATGTTAAAGTGGTGTAGGGAGAAGGCGTTGGTTTGGGATGGTTTTAGAGGGGTTTGGGATGGGATGGGATGGGTAAAATATTAGATTGGTTCTTGAACGACTACGAATTTACTTCTTTATCATTCTGTGTCTACGGTGTGCTCTGCAGTAATATATGCACCACATTGTCTTCCCTTTTGCCCAAATACTAGCTACTGGTGTCAATATACTCATAAAAGTAGACGAGGGTCCCTGGAGGTCTGGGAGGTTAGTTAGAGGATATTCTATCCCAAGTTCCCCCCCCCCAACCAAAGATTTAGAAAGAATAGAAAGCCAAATAACATCATAAATTCATCAATCCAATCACCCCACTCTACTTAGGATCATGCGCAACAACCTCAATCTCAACCCTCATATCATCCTCCCCCAACCTCGTAACCCCCACACAAGTCCACAACGGCTCATGATCCGGCATCCACTTCCTAAAATTCCTCACCATAGCCTCCAACGCCTCATTATTGATGGGCACATGATACGAATTCACGCGATACACCTGCGACCAGCCCTTCCCGCCGGCCGTCTTGAGCGCCAGATCCACGTTCGCGAACGCCTGGTCGATCTGCGCGTTGATTTCTTTGTAGAACTCGCCTGTGTTGGGGTCCCAGCCGCCTTTTTTTTTTTTTATTATTGCATCTCAAGTTAGTAGGATTGGCATATTGGTTATGTACCTAGAGAGGAGAGGGCGAACCTTGACCGGAGCATTCGATGCGGTCGCTGATGCGGACGGCTTGGCTGTATTTGAAGTTTTGGCGGTTGCGTTCGCCGACGCCGGGGTAGTTGTAGTAAGTTAGGTGGGACATTCTGGTTCGGTATTTATTATCTGGGGATTTTAGAATTGAGTTTGAAGTGGTTTTTGCACCAGGTTTATATAGGGTTTTGCGGTGCGGAATATATCTTCCGCTGATGAGGTCATAGCCCGAGGGGATGGAACTTTATCGAGAGATAGAGATGCATGAACTGACAAATCAATCTTGGGGTTGTTGTTTCATGTGTTATGTCAGTTTTTTAGGTGGGGTTTTTCATGGTTGATTCTTGGGTGTTATCATTGGGCCCCTCTTCTAGGTGTATGGTTGGTAGATTGTTCAGATGTATAGTAACAGCACTACCACATCCGCTCCCAATTGATTTGATTGAGGATATCGAAGAACCCGTAATCGACGGGTAGTGATTCCATAGGGACTGACAGTTCTACTTGATTGGCCAGTGCGTTACCCGGGTTGACGCTTGGGTTTGATTCAATCTCGTCGATGACATTCGGGAGCTCGACGCCTAGGTCGAGCGGGGGGCTGGGGTTTGTTTCGAACGGATAGAACCCCTTCTCTAAAGAAAATGTGACATCTGAGATGGCAGACTGACAAAGCTTCCTCAGGTTATGTCCGATATGGCCTGCCGGATACCACGATTTAGATAGCTCGTCCAAAACTGTTAGACACAGGGCCAGTTTGTTCTTATGTGAGGGGGCGTTTAGATTCTCGGTTTCATCGAGGAGGACCAACGCTGCAGATAATGTGCAGTGAGTTGCTGTGATCGGGCTCAGATGGTATCCCCCGAAGGTGTGTCGGTATTTCTGAGCGACGAGACAGATGGAACGGGCGGATTCGCGACAGATTGAGTGAGCTAGGTCGGTGGTTTCGTTTTTGGGCTTTGACGGTGGGTTCTCTCTCATGATGAATGGTTTTGCTAAAAGGATTCTTGCCGTGTGGTACACCATGTGGAGTGTGTAAGCTTGAGGGATGTCATTTGCACGGTCAATCCTTAACTCTGTGGGGAGGTCGTAGAACCATGACCTTAGGTCTAGGAGACAGGACTTGAGGAAGGCCGGTCGTTGGTGCTCCTTGAGGAGGGGTTTGGGAGCCCATCTGAAACCGTTAGCTGAGGCATAGAGGTGAGTGTTGGGTATTTTGTTACAGTGATAAAGTGATTCTCTCCTGTATTCGGCAGACGCTAATCATGGCTCGCTGTAGTGGTCTGAATGCTTTATGAGCGGGACTCATCTCTACATTGGATATAGGATCGTCATCCGGTACTTTGACGGCTCCTTGAGAGTCCTACATCTGTCAGAATACTGTGCCATCTACAGACCAGTCGAACTCACAAGCATGGAGCAAATCCGTCCCGTATAACTGGATGACAGCTTATCATGACAGTATAAGGTCCAGTAAATCTGCCTCCTGAGTTGAATCTCTCGTGGAGTCATTGCATTCGTCTCCTCAAATCCAGCCGGGTCCAGATTCAAGCCCATATCGAGACTCAGTCGGTTCGCCATCCCATGGTGCAGCCAGCCAGCGGCGTCAGCCCCCATCGCCTGTTATCATTAGCATGTACTAATATCTGACAAACACAGACACAGACAATGGTGTCTTACAATATACACCATCCCAATCAGGCCTAGTGCTTGGATAGTGGTTAGGCTGGGTCTTTCCGTCTCCCTGTGGAGCTGGGTTTTCGCTTCTTCGAGGAATGCCTTCCCTGCTGTATTTGGATCATCGGGGTCCGATCGCACGTCGACACGATCGGAATATCGTGACCCTAAAGCAAGGATGCAATTATGCAATAGCGGAGTCCAGTACCGCCCACCATTATTCATGCTTTCCCTGAAGAGCCCCTCATCGACAACAGCATACCATGGCTGCTCCCACTTGAAGTAAAGATCAATCAGATGGTCCTGAACGTCCTTCGGGACTCCCATCCCAGCTGTGATCGGGTCAATGGGGTCGATATACCCGTAGCTATCCGACACTTGATCCGGCGGAGAGACCGAAAAAGCAGAGCCATCAATACTGACACGATTACTGGAAGAACCCTGAAACTGAAGTCGTCCACTCGTCGGCCCGAAATACCTCATCTCGCCATCTTGGTCGAAATTCAGCGATTCGTCCAGAGCAAGCCTGCCCTTAAAATTTTCGGCCAGGCTATCCATATCCGAAGAAGTGTCATCATGTCGTATAGTGCCGTTCATGCCGGACCCCCTATCTAATGGCAGTTGTTCGGGTACTTGAGATTCCCTCGCATCAATTCCATGTCGTTCCAGCAGTCTTTCTAGAGATTCTATCCTCTGCCGCAGGAGAAGCACGTATGTCTTGGATGCTGGTCTCCGACCATCCTCCGCGACAGAATACTGACAGAGAATGCGCCATTGCGAGCATCTGGAGCAGGACGGTTTGTTTCCATCGCACTGGCACTTTTCGTTAGTAATACAATCGCCCGTGTCGATTGACCCTCGCCCACTTGTTGATCATATAGCCACTTGACTAACCTTCGCTCGACGCCGTCGACATTCTTCACATGCTCTAGTGGTGTATTTACCGCGCTGTCTACTTGCATTTCTACGCGATTCGGAGGACATGGTGGTGAGGTGACATGTAGAAAGTTCGGGTCAATTGCCTGGGGATCTTCAGTAGGACTACGGTAAGACGTCAGTTCTTGGCGGTTGTGGATCCACCGGAGGATCTATGGATCTGTCTCTTTGGTCACAGCTTATGGAAGCTTTTTGCCTTCTACGGGAATTTGTCGGAGAATTTTATGGATCCCTAGTAGGCATATATCTAGTGGACATTAAAAGGGGGTATTCTGAAAAGCATTGAATTCAGAGAGTTCGAGAGGTTAGGGCTTCACAAATGACACAGTGAGTACCTCATCCCAAACAAAATCCTTGATTTCGACCAAGACCTTGTCTACTTGGTAACCAAATTAAGTTCAGAGCCACTCTTCCGTTTCCGGTTGAATAAAAGATCTAGACCGTCGAAGCTCTTTGGAAAGGATCCGCAGAGCTCCGCATAGTCTAACTCTGTCTTATCCTGAGACCTGCAGTGATGGCTTCTAACTGGTAGGAGCTCTTGTGCAGCCTCTGGATAGGCTGGGTATTTAAACCGTGTTGTGTCAATTAACTCTGCACTGTACAGTCACAAGGATATAAGAAAACTTCCAGAAGACATTTTGGCTTTGAGATGCGGTATTGATAAAGCATTCATCCCACTAACCTTGGTCCGCTCGTCTTCAGGCCGGGGTTTCAGTCTTCGTGGCAACATCTTGTACAAACATATCACTCTTGGGTTACTTGCCTCTCCCTCCCCTTGGAATCTGTCCCCGGGCTTCCCAGGAGGCTTTCAATATAATCGGAATTTATTAGCATAGCCATAGACTATGGATTCCCGAAGGCGGTGCTGGTAGTGGTAGTCAGAGAGGCTGATGTCAATGCCGAAGGTGGGATATACAAAACTGAACCATATAGATGAAATCAGTATCAACATAAACAGCGTATTTGTAACAACCTGCTAGAACAAAAGGACTGCGTAACTGATACACAAGTTAATGCCTGATAGTCCGTGACTCTGTGGTATTTACCATACTGGTGTACAAAGCAATATAGATAACCTAGATTAAGGGCTGAAATTGTCCATTGTTAGGTATTGATACTCTATAGACCCTGTTCTAGCTACACACGGTCTGAAATACGTATGGACTGTAGATAAATATTAATGTTGCCCGGAAAGGTATGAATATTACAGATGGTCAAACCATTCTCTCAAATAAAGGAAAGTCACTTATTATGTTTTATGCAGTTTGAACGTTCAATAGTGGCCGTCTAGATAGATTATGAACACGAATCATGCAGAAGAAATCTTAGCATCCAACTTCTCCACCGCTGCCTCCCTCCCCATCAGCTTCAACCAAGCCCTCAACTCAAATCTCCCATCATGCAAGTCATTCGGATTTCCCACAAATTTAAACACATACCCAAGCTCTTCTGCCGGTTCCTTGCCGTCCGTGTATCTGATCACACAGGACTCTGTGCGGTAGTTATTGGTTTCATACGCAGCAAGCCTTCCTCCATCCTCCGCACTTTGGACATAGTATACGGCACCCTCAACAACGGTATCACTAAAGGTGTCCACTAAGGCCGGGTATTGGCCCCACATCTTACTTTCGTAACCTTGAATAAATGCGGGTCGGAGCTCGGGCTCTTTGCCCAGGTTGAGGATCTCTGAAACCATGCATGGATCGGTTAGTGTGCCGTAGAAGAAGTAGGGGCCTGTGGGTTTGGCAGATAGGTCGACTATTGGAGATGGTTGTGCTGCCTGATAGAAATAGTTAGGAGGAGCGTTCCGCAGTTTTAGAACGAAGGGTGAGATTTTGGAGCGAGGATCCTCGGGTGGCGGTGGCGGTGAAGGAGCTCCTGGTGGGGTAGACATGGTGTTGAAGTGGGAGGTTTGGGGATAGAAGAGTGAGATACAGTGGGATTGAACGCTTGAATGACTTATGGTTACAAATCAGGTGTTATACTACAGGTTCAATGTTAGATGTAGGGATATCATATTGTTTTGTTTTCGAGTTTGTTTCTGTAGTACGATTACATAACCATACGCCTTAGAAATATCCAGATTCCAGCCTATCAGGTTAATGTTGATATAAAAGTGAGAATTGACTGATGATATTCATTGTCATCTAGATCACTATACGATATAACTTTTAGCACCCCTCGAATAGAGCGGTCCGACAGTATACCATATAACTGTTTATTCATTCCTGCACCTGGCTCGATACACCACTACCGAACAGTAGATCGGTCCTCGTCTCTCGATCCCAAACCTTCACTCCATCACTCTTCCTCTTGAAGTACAGAATCCGATGCATGGGGATAAACGCTTCATCGGTCAGATCTGCCTTCCATTGCCCTACCGGCATTTCCCTCTCCCCAAGGAAGCGATCGTCATAGCCGACAATGTAATCTTCAATATCAAATTCCGCATCCCAGCGAAGTCGGTTTAGAACATCACTAGCAGACCGTAGCTTTGTCCCTTCGGGAATCGCGACGGCCTTCGCGCCACGGATAGGCATGGTCCGTTGGCGTGGCTGCGTTAGCTCTTCATTCTCTTCATCCTCCAGATCAATCTCATCTTCATCATCATCGAATGAGTCTTCATCGTAAGCCGCATTTCCCCAGTTGGAACTATCGACTCGAAGACCGCTGAGTGCAGATGGCTGAACTAGGCTGACGTCAACCCAGCTGGAGGAACTATCAAAGTAGTTCTCGTCTTCACGGATTTGCTCGGCAAAGGTATTCAGCACAGCCAAGAGGGAGATCTGGGCCGATTGTCGGTCGGCATCGCTTAACTGGGTTGCCCCTGGCGTACTTTCCCTAGTCAGACCAATCAAATAGCAACCTTGATATTCTTTTGTAGTCTCGTCCACCTCTTCCATATCTGTGAACCGGGCCGGCCAGATCCGGGCGTGGATATCGGGAAATTTCCGATGGATATCTATCCATGTTTAGCTCATAACGATTGAAAAGTGTGCAATGGGTGTAACCTACCAACGAGAAGCGATACACATCGCCACTCCAACCACCCGACCAGCATTCTGCCTTTTGTGGCTGCACCGCCCCAGTACTGGACGTTCACCTTTGCATAACTTCGATATGATTTAAGGAATTCGTCTGCGCCGGTGGGGTCCTTAACAGACCCAGCCAACTGTTCCCAGGTAACATCTTGTCTTGACAAGAGCTGATCTGCCCGTTGGAACTCTTGCACCAATGTTCTTGTCGAAGGGATAGAAGCTGCACGCGCAACGTTGACCTTCGGTTGGTGCTGGCTAAGGATCACCAAAGGCTCTCTTTGAGGTCGGAAGTATCGCGGTGCTGACTTATAGAAACTGGGATCATAGACGACATTTTTCTCCCAGTTGAACTGTGCATAGTGTTTGAAGAATGTGGTGATGATATCCGCTGCTGAGATGCTGCCGGCTTGGCGGAATGAGAACGTACAAATACGCGCTAAGAGCAAGGTAATGTGAATCCCCCCAAGATAACCCAGCTTGGAGGAGTAGATCCCGCGTCGCTGGGCCCACATCTTGATGAACCGATAAGCAAGACGGAACGACGCTAGGTCTGGGATTGTTCGTTGCAGATAGTGCATGTCGCGGAGGGAGTTGAGCTTGAGCAATGATTGTATGGGGAGGTCAAAGGTGGAGTCCCCTGCAGGGAGATCTAGAGCTTGGGGCCAGCTATAAACTGCGTTAGCTATCATACTATGTGAGGAAATATATGTGCGAAAGCAGGAGTTACCTTTCAACGACACGGGTTGCTGCACAATACTGTAGATCAATGCGTACTCCACGAACCTCCAACTCCAACATTGTTCCAGATGCTGCCTTCACCTTTCGGAGAATCGCAATGTCGTTGTCTGTTGCTCGCCGTAGCTTTGCAATCATCAGGGCGAAGAATGTTCGTGGACTGACTTGCCCAATGACCAGAATGTCCATATCGGACGAGCTGTTCCATACGCCAAAGCCATATGAGCCAACAGGTACAACTGCAAACAACAGATCTACCTTAGTATCAGCTGGCAGGTTAGCATCACGCTGGTTGACGAGCTGTTTGATTAACTCGAAAGCCTCCTTCCGCTGTGAAATTTCCTCATCGGATGGAAAGACCCGATGCTCCTTCAGACATTTCTTCAAGCCATCGACACCTCCAAGACTCGATGCTGCCTTTTCAATTGCGATGGAGGCCTTTTCGCTTCCCAGATCTCCAGAACTCGGGCCATCCATCTTGAATGTCGCTCTCACTCCCCAATGATCACTTGCAAGCTGGCTTTCCTCTCCACTGGGAAATCCGAATAGGTTATATGAGAGAACTTCGAATTCTTCACCACGTACTAGAACCCGATCATATCTTTGAGGCCGACTATGAAAGCTTTGTCCTGCGATTCTTGCGGCGTGTTCGTTTTCAGTTGGGTCATATGTTGCGCCTTCCTCGCCTTCATACAATGTTCCAAGATCTAACCTACTCTGGGGGTTCCCTAGGCCACTACTGGCGGCACTGCTAGCACGACTAGCATAGTAACAATCCGAGAGACCGACCTCAGTCAACATAGCGTCCAGAGATGCCAGCACCGACGCGCCTTGCACCGAGATCGACCTCCGCTTCAATGCAGTATCGATGGTGTAAGATGAAGTCGCAATGTTGAAATCTCCCGCAACAACCCAGTGGTTATTGGGGTAACTTCCAGACAGATATCTGAGTACCGTTTGGAGTTGGGACCGTTTCGCCATGATAGAACTGTCAATGAGACCACAGCTCAGGTGTACACCTGTCACAACGAGAGGGAAGAATTTCGAGTCGTGGAAGGTTCCCAAGTCCTCTAGCTGAAGTACGACTGCGCCTTTATGCCGTTTGTCGAACGGCAGCCACTCCCACCGGAACTGCCAACGGCTGAGCACGACGATGTTTCGGAGGCTGTTTAGCGGACCGATTTCGGCCTGATCGGGTGGTCCATGGGTTGCGAAGGGGTAACGGAGGCGGATCTCCTTGTCTCGGAGAAGGAAGGACAAAAAGTCGTCGGCTACCTCTTGCAGGATGAGAATATCGGCGGTTGCAGCGTCGGAGAGTAGATTTTGGAGGAGTAGGGGATACCTCTCTGTCGGAGGCGGATGGGGGGATTCGATGAGAACATTGTACGACGCAACAGTTACTGGTGATTCCATCGGCTTGCCTTCCGCTGACGAAGGTGACTTTGGGATAGCATTCCATTTCCCTTCTTCGCTATCGTCCTCAGCAGGCGAGAACTGAAACGTAGTCTCCGAGTGAGCTGGCAACGAGGATGGCGAGGAGTATTCAAGAGCTTGAGAGTTAGATGAAGGTGTACCAGACAGTGAAACAGCGCCCCAGACTACCATTGGGCTGGAAGCAGTATCTAGCCCCTGCGATCGGTCACGGATCAGAATCACCAGTTCTTCCACTTCCCACTCAATGGCAGGAATCAAGCCGACTTTCTCTAGCAAAAATTGTCTCTCGGCCAAATTATCTGCCTCGCTTTGACCAACTGTGAGATGCAGCTGGCCAGAGGCCCGCGATTGGCCACCGAAAGCATCTATAATATCTCGTTGTAGCTGTGTTAGGGCCTTCAAACCGTCGCTTCCACTATCCGTGAGATAAACTGTATTACTGCGCTTGTGGGCGAAAAAATCTGGTTTATCCAGCCGCAGACGGATGGGGTCAACTTCTTTCCTGTCGCTTAGGACCGATTGCAGCAGATTTGATGCTTGAGGAAGTGCCTCTGGAGCCACAAATGGGTAAATCAGATTGGCATGTGGCGGCCATCTTCCATGTGCTTTGTCATATAAAGCACGTAGACGGTCAATATCTCCGGTTAAACGCGACGGAGGAACCACACATAGGGCTGTTTCGTATGACGTCAGGGGTATAGGTCGGTTTTCCTCGTTAGACGCCATGGGTATCGTAGATTATCCTAAAACACGCTCAAAGATGCCAAGAAGAATCTAAAAAGAACTGCTAAACCAGACTGCTAAAAAAAACGGCTGAACAAAAAGTACAGTAGGAAAACTCGATTTGCTTTAGAAATAAAGACATGAAAATATTCTCATGAATAGGTAAATATTTAAACTCATTCAAGCTCTGTTTCCAAGAGCAGAACTGGTCTGGAAGCGAGTTCTCCACCGACAACCCAGAGATTGACCCAGGATGAGTGAACGTGACTCACGGCAGTGGCGGTGCGCTAAAATACGAGTGAGGAGCCTCCTCCACATTGAGTCACGATCTAAATCCTACCCTAAGTTATACACAGTTAGCTCGCTTCTATAAACAGTACACTGGTGCAAGCTTGCATCCTCTTCATGCAGGATCAGAGAAACCCAATTCAAACACCTTTTATGAAATAAGCTAATCTCCGGGGCTCGTACTGACATCAACGTTTTACCATACTCAGAACATTGTAGAAATTCTTCAGGATTTGGAAAAGGGCCTCACCGCTTCTAGGGTGCAAGGCATTTTCAGGAAGCCCAATGCTATATTGATAGTCGCGGTCACATGTGCTGGGGTCCAAGTAACAAGGCGTACCTAGTAGAGAGATGCCATCCTGAATGCGAGAGATTTTTTTTTTTTTTTTAATTTCCTTTGTAGCCCTTTTCGCACAGCGAAGGGTGTCCGAATTTATTTGCTCATCTTCACCGAGACCTCAGTCATGTCGCGTTTAATGTGTTCATTGTCTTGGCAGCGATCGGTGACGCGAGCTCAAGACACGCGACGCCGTTATTTTGTGTTTGGGGTTATGCAGGGTTGATGAGTAACATTGCTATTATCTTCCTTGGCATGAGAATTCCGATAGACTTTATTCACTAAACGGTTCCAAATATATCTAATGATCTGGGAAAACATAAACCCAGTTGTATCAACTTCAAATGAGCCTGAGAATGCCAATTCAATTCCAAGGAAACCAGGGAGGCGGGGCAGGTTTCGAATCTTTGGCGGCTGCTAAGTACGCGCAATATTCTTAAGAGGTTAGGTACTGGCCAGGTCGCTAGTTTAGGGTTTTTTTGTGACGATACCATGGGATGACCCAGGGCCCCAAAGATAGGGTCTTGGTGTGAGAAACTAGGTGAGGTTTCTGGATGGAATTCAGTAAAAAGATTTCATCGTATTATATTTCTTATTCGAGTAAAAGTAACTGATGCAACGCCGACGTGAAAGACAAAATAATACCAAAAAATGACAGCTATGCCTGAGTCAACAGTCCCTAGTGGCAAACTAATGACTTCCTTCACCGTGCTCCTGCTGGCCATTGCCGTTGTTCTTCCCTTCCTGGCCATGACCCTCTGACCACTGGCCTTTGCCGTTGTTCTTCCCTTCCTGACCATGGCCCTCTGACCCCTGGCCATTGTCATTCTTCTTCCCTTCCTGACCATGGCCCCCCGAGGACTGGTCATTGCCGTGACCCTTCACCTGCTCCCCATGGCCCTCCTGCGACTCGTCATGGCTCCCAGAACCATGGCCGTGGCAGGACCCAACCTTCTCCTCATAATCACAGATCCCGAACTTAGAGCTGTATGCCGTTCCGGGGCCGCAAGTCTTGCGGACAGCAATTCCGCCAGCAGAGCATTCGAAGAAGCTGTGGCAATCGCCATGGTCAGGCCAAGTAGCTCCCGTCTCACAGCTGGGGCGAGCGGTCGCAGAGAATGCAAAGAGGGAAGCGGCAAAGATAGCCAGAGCTTTGAAAGAGGTGAATTGCATTTTGACGCTGTGAGGAACCGAGCTGTTAATAGCTGCAGTGACAGGTGCGGGGGGATAATCTGATCCTGATGATGCGGAAGTACGTACGCTAAGTGTGGGATAGTGTTATCACTTTGGAATAGATGGCCACTAGATGGAATGGGCTGTGGATGAGAGGTAAGGTCAAGGTTGGCGCTGGTGTCCTGTTGTCGAAATGACTTAGTGTTGTCGATGAATGGATCATGATAGCTGGAGGTTATACCGGCTTTTATAGATTCGTGCTTCTATACAAGTTTTGCTCTGGCAAGGGATATACAAGAAATGCATTCTTGGAACATCGATCCCCTGAAACCAGTATGCTTCCCTTGCCACTAAAGGGGGAGCAATTTACAACATCCTGTCACTAGAATGTTGTAGAAACGGTAGTTAAAAGTATCGAATAGGAAATGACAAGTGCATTCAGCAACTTGGTTCTGAACATTTTTGTGCTCCACTTCCCCAGCCCTGCGGGGGACACGACGTATCCGTCACTTCGGTACAGGGTTATTATCCCTTGCCATACCCAACTATGTATGGCCGCAAACTAACCATTCCGTAGGGGCTCTCCAATGTCATTGGAATTAAGGAAAAGGGGTTTCCACCACGAGCCTGCTGTTTTCAATGAAGCTCATGATGACCCTAGCTTAGCATTTGATAGGGATTATGTAGGGATCTTTGAAGACGGAAACCGCACAAGAGCTCTTCATTCCAGTCTATTCCACGCTGAATATTTAGCGATAGAGAAACCAGAACGCGAGATGAAGCCAAACAATACTCTAGGGATACTGCACATAGAACTGAAAAATAGCACGGGAGGCCAAGTTCGAGGTTCTTGAAAGAATGCAGGCTATTGCAATGTTCCCAAAAACCTTGTTGTTTGCTTCCGTCCCTGTCACCCCTTGACTCCTTTGCAACTCCATCGCTTATTGTCAATTGGGTTTTCCCCCTTACATTAATTTGTTAATCGTTGCCAAATTTTAGCTTGTTGAAACTTTCTTTTGTATGCAAAGAAATGACGGTGGTCATCCGGCTTGAATTCAAATGGGAAACAAAAATGCAACGAGACAGAGAGAGCTGAAAGAGCCTATACATTTCAAATCTTATTGTATTGGGGAGCTTAAATTGTAATGTCACTACTTTTGGACACGCTCCAGCCTATTTCCCTAAACATTCTGTACGCTCTGTCTCATGTATTGTGTCGTAGGTGTTCGCGCTTCGGGCTCCTCTTTTCGACTGGCTGCAGTGATCGTTTATCTTAGATTTCCACCCATTCTTCGCAGGAGGGGAGAACGAATTGCTGCAGCCTGGAGTACATGTCTAGTTTAATGCTACTTGCCATTAGGGTTCTAAGCAGGTCCAGACTCTCAACGGCCGGCCATTTTGAAATATTCTGTATTGTTTCTAAGAGCGCGCTGCCCGGAATGCGGAACGAGCGCTCCCCAAACACAATGCGGGATATTCTTCAATGATTGGCTTCTACTGCAGAACAGATGGGAAGAACATTCTCTTAGCGAATTGGCGTATTACCTAGTGTTCTAGGCCTAAAGTTCAAGGAGCACAATTGAGGGTGAATATAGGTCTGATCATTCCTATCTAGTGGCCTGCGTGGCCTGAATACTCGAGTCTATCTTGGCAGGCGACGGTTGTGAGGCCATTGAGGTAGGCTGCAGGGGTTCATGGACTCAGCTCTCCTCTACATTGGTCAATCACACGCTAAACCCCCTGGAGGGAGGGGATGTGACATACCATCAACCATAGTATGGTTAATATTTTGGTTCATCTGTGGTGGTATCGTGCCATACTCCGCTCACTGAGGGCAACCACTGATATGCCCAACAACAAACGTCGCTTGCTCGCCAATCTTGGTGCTATACTGAGTCATGTCGAGGGTGCTGTCGCCATCCATGGGCATTGACTAGAAGGAAGTCTCCGAACCTTTGATACAACCGGTTTGAGCTTTTCAATAATCAACATCGATCATATGCTGACTTGCTAAGTTCTCGGAACGAAACAACTTCACGCAAGTCCTGCATGGTAAATCAACGGCCCAGTAATTTTTCTTAATCATTTGGTGATTACAGAAAGACTTGATTAGAAAGCTCTTGCTGCATCTTGCTGCAACTCTTGTACTATTGCCAAAGATTATAGGTATCTGAGTGGTCCTCATGGTCATTTAGATAAGGAGAGGAGACTCTACAAGGTTTATAATAATACATTTTGGGGACGACAATATAAAGCACACAACTAATGAAGTCACCTTGTGATAATGGATGCCAACTTTGCGGTGCTAGGTAGCAAATAAAGAAAGGTTAAGCGCAACCTGTTAGACTAGTTTCATTTCAGGGCCGAGGAGGGTAGCTATCTGGTTCCTTTCCTGTTCGTATATGCAGAAGCCATGTTATAGAGTTTCTTGTATCCGCGGTACGACAAGTTGATACTGCATGATATCGGTTGTCTAATAGTTTTAGACTATGAATACAGAAAAGACTTATTTCATGGCACGACTGGGACAGAACAGAATATCGGCTAGTGCAGGACAGGATAGTCCCGTGCTGGTTCATGTAGCTCTTAGAATATATATTGTCTGTGGTTGGAGGCATGGGCAGAATAGAATAATGGATCAACTGAGGTCAGGGAACTAGTCATGAATAACCACTCCATATAAGGCATACTGAGTTATCTTCGGGTTATTCCTTTGGGCATGGGCTACGTCACAGCACAAGTGAACAAAACGCGTGTCAATGAGCAGCACTGTAGAAGATGCCAGCACAACATCTGGCACCAACCCAAATATAATACCCAATGTTCGACCGAGATGTATATTGCCTGCTTCAGTCCTCTTCCGCCTTTATGACCAATCAAAAATATAAGAAAGAAAAAAGAGAGAGACTCGAACTGCGCGACACGGATGATTGGGAGATCTGAACACGCCTTGGAAATCAGGCAGGCTTTCCGAGTCATATCCCATGAACTCTAAACTCAACCACGTTAATAATATATTGTCAGTGTATTATCCATTCGACTTCACTGGGAAATGTAAATATTTGCATTGGGCCGTGGCAGAGATCGATAACAGATTTTCAATTGACTCACCTGAAAGAAAGACCTGTAAGAAAGCATAGCAGAGTGTCTCGCTTAACAACATCGGGCAGTTAAACTGACGTGGCGATGCCTCTTCAGCTTTCTCGAATGGAGATCTGAACGCCTCTGGCCAGTAAGGCCAACACATCAAAAAGAATAGAGTGAGGCTGGCTGACAAGTTACCTCTGGCAACAGGATCGACTGCTTTGAACTGGAGTCGTCGAATCAATATAATGCTACCAGCATTTACTAGCAGGAAAGGTTTCAATGGCGGGGTCAGTAATCATTCAATGGATACCCGACATGAGGTTGATGTTGTTATTGGTTCGATACTCTAGCCCGCAGGTGATCGGCGTCGTGATTCACCTTTACAATAAAAACTGATAAATAGATGGCATGGGACCTATAAAACAACGATACTCTGATCATACTACTTTTTGGTTGTGTGTTCTTTCCAAGCTTTCTAAGTGTCAGAACTACGGCCATGACTAATGATGGGAAAAGGTGCAGTGGGTTAAATAATCGGGTGGATAATGATCATATGCTAACTAAAACACAGAAAGCTCACCCATAAAGATTACACGGTCGCCTGGGTGGTCGTCCTTCAGGTTGAATTGACGCCAGCCAGGAAGTTGCTAGACAAGGAGGATGAGCCTCTCCCACGGAGCAAGAAGGATGACAATAACTATGTCCTAGGTCAGAGCGGCGAGCATAATATAGTCATTACCAGGCCGTCTGTATATGGAACGAATGCCACAGCGCATGCAGTAGCCAATATGCTGCGCACATTCCCAAATGTACGATTTGGCTTACTGGTAGGGATTGGGGGAGGTGCTCCAAAGCCACCACGAAAGGATCCTAATAAGGACATTCGCCTTGGGGATGTTGTGGTATCTTTTCCAAGAGGTGGCCATGGTACGTGGACACATTCAAGCCCTTTGGTATTCACTTTGCTTTGCCTTACTTTTCTTTTCTTTCTTCTATATTTCTTTCTTCCATTTTCTATTTATTTGGAGTTCCGTTCATATGCTATTGAGCGCTGTCTCCTGAGATGCTGATACAACATCATAAAGGCGGCGTAATCCAATACGACATGGGAAGATGGGAAGGGGAATGTGATTTTCAAATTCAGTCCCATCTGAACAGGCCTCCTGGCATTCTGTTGAGCGCCATAACAGGGCTAGGATCCGAACATGACCTTGATAACGGCAGAATGAATGAGTATATCCGGAACGGCTGGTGGAAATCTGTAACATTCCCGGGTCGGGATGAAGATCGGCTTTTCAGATCAGACTACCGACATATACCTGGAGAAGATTGCGAAGCATGCGATCGCACAATGACAATAACCCGTGTTGAGCGATAAAGCAACGAACCTGTTGTGCATCAGGGTCTGATCGCCTCAGGAAATGCTCTGGAAAAGTCGCCACAGCATCGAGACAAGCTGCGTGACAGGTGGGATGTTGCCTGCTTCGAGATGGAGGCTGCTGGACTGATGAATGACTTTCCATGCCTGGTAATCCGAGGTATCAGCGACTATTCTGATAGCCACAAAAATGATGAATGGCAGCCATATGCTGCTCTGACAGCCGCTGCATACGCGAAGGATCTTCTGAGAGTCATTAAGGGCGAACAAGTTATAGCTGAGCCGCCAGCGACGGAGAGGCTAAATCGCCCCAAGCAAGATAGTGATTCTAGCTTATCTGCTCAAGATTTAGCACCCTTGGATAACAGATTGAATGCTCTCGAAGAGCGCGTCCAGGCTTTGGACTCGAAACTTGAGGGTATGGTGGACAAGCATAATAATTCTGGACAGGTGATAGAGCTCGAGTATCGGATCGAAGCACTTAGCACGAGGCTTGATATGATAAATAGTGAAGCAAACAGCACGCAACCGAAAATCAAGCAACTGAACGATCGTGTCTTAGAGTTGGAAAGGGGAATAGCGAAGCCGACTGGCAAGTTGCCGGGAGGGACGATGCACCCTATGGATCACAGTAAGGAGCACTTCTTCCCTTCTTCACACATATATGAGTATCCCATTCCGATATTGACAAGTCAACTACTTATTTAGGTCGCGTAGGTGTCAGTGAGTATGGGCTTGTGGGCCGCGTCGAGGCCGGGAGAGCTTCTGTAACCCGACAAAGAGGGGGAGGACCGACTCGAATCCGTTTTCAACAACGTTTTGATCACGTCCCACACGTTCAGATTACCCCTGAGCGAGGTGGTGGAAAGCATGAGAATTTTTTGTTATATCTCTACAATGACGGACGGCCCTGTGTTGATTGTGAGGGGTTCGATGTCGGCTGTTTTCTTCATGTTGAACACACCGTTACCTTCACATGGTTGGCCGTGGAGATCGTTTGAGCCTGTTAATGTCAATACTAGCTAACTATCATTGGAGATGGGAACTTTCGCCGTTTACATATTTCTAAGTTACCCCCCATATTGCGTCTGGAAACCAAATACAGCCGTGGGCGCGCGCGAGGACACCTACTTAGCTGCTGCTATCAACTAGGTATTTGAATGTCGTCCAGATTGAAGAGAAGGCGTTAATTCATTTAGACTAAGACATCATGTATTACTTTCTTAGGTTATATTATACAGTGAATGTTACTCCTCTGTGCATCTGAATTACGATTTTTGGAGGGTTTTCGCCACTGGTGCCATCAGTTCGACACCATTGTCAGCGAGATTGACGGGGATAAAACTGTGTGCTAGGCTGTTACCGTTATTAAATACAAGTCAAAGGCTGGGAAGGAGGTTTTGGTATGTGTAGGTATCTGTGAAAAGAGGAGAACGACTAGTTACAAGCTGGGCTGCAGTTGAGGGGGAGAGCCACCTTTTATGCCTATCTAGTCTTCTAATGTAATGCTAACATGACATTACACAGTTTCATCTGCTGTTGATATAACCATCCATATTTAGCAGGCATCCACGTCAAAGACACAAATCGCTGGATGTCAGTTACATCTTATGATTTGGCAGTGTTCGTGTACATCACACCATCGGGTGACATCGAGCGATCCCATTTGTGATGTGTTAGGTGTTCTCAGCTACGGCAACCGTAAGGGGCTTGGTTGCGACACGCGTTGCGATAAAGTTTGCGTGGACCGAGGATGGAGAATGCTCAGATCAATGAGAAACATTCGACGGCGTTGATCGGGGAAAAGTTAGATGAGGGAAACAAGTACCATGATTGCTCTCACGCAGCGACATCTCTGGTCCGGGAGCAGAATCGCCAAGGGATGTCAAGAACACTAAGGCCCCCAAGGCCACCTAAGGCTTCCTAGGGCTCATGTTGACAGACCCTAAACCACCTGGAATTAGATTGTGAGATTATACTCGCGTACGCAAGATTGTTCTTAGATACTTAGGAGAGAGCCACATCCCAAGACGATTCATGATATCATGATATTCTGTTCTTCTCAGTGCTACTGACCTCGACCACTGAATTTAAATTGTCTCCACTCATCTGGTTTGCAGATTGCTAAGGAGCACACCCCCTTCCCTGTTTGTCTAAGATCACCCCTAATTAAACAACTAGTATCTAGACATCTCTATATCCAGTTCCATTGCAGTATTTATGCCGATAACCATCGAAGGATGACGTGGCAAGACTACTGGTACTTATGCGCATCCCCCTCATCTTGCTTTTGGTTTCTTTCCTCCTTAGTGTTGGAGCACTCAGTCTAGTATATATTATATGTACGAGCGCGTGAAGCAGACAGCCTCTTTGCCGCTAGCAGCATCGCATTCTCGCATTCCATCTTTCAAAATGGTTGAATTTGGCCAGATATATGCTTTCTCGGGTAACCCCCGGGGTGCACGAGTGAGTGATTATTCCATCAATATCTTGGCTTCTAGCATCTCTGCTAAGCATTGGTTTTCTCAGGCGCAAGTGATCGCCGCCCTCGGAGGCCTAGATGTGCCCTTCACCCCAGGCTTCATTCCTCTCCACACTAACCGGACAGAGGAATTTAAGCAGAAGTTTCCCATGGGCAAGATTCCGACTCTCGAGGTGTTTGCTAAGGACGCTGAGGGAAACCCCATCAAAGACAAGGACGGCAACAACGTTGTCGAGTTCTCCCTCGTGGAGGGGCTCGCCCTCGCCACCTATCTCGCCACTAAGGGCAACAAGGCCTCTCAGCTCCTAGGCACGACAGATGAGGCGTCAGCCAAAATCATGGAGTGGGTATCCTTTGCGGAAACCGAGCTTACTATACCCTCGAGCGATCCCATCACGATGACTGCCCGCCCACTTCAGCGGTATAACGAGAAGTTATACCAAAATAAATGCAAGGCCATGGCTCAAGCTCTATATCGGCTGGAGCTAGAGCTCAAAAAGGGCAATCAATTTCTGGTCGGAGAGAAGATCACCATTGCCGATGTCTTTGTTGGGTCTTGCCTGCATTTCGGGGTGGCGATGCTAGTTGATGCCGAATGGCGTAAGCAGATACCGCATTGCATGCGCTACCTACAGGGCATTAGCGAAATAACTGAGTTCAAGAAGACCTTTGGGGACGTGACGATGGTGCAGGAACGGCCGGTGGTACCACCACCAGACCAACCCCTGCTAGACCCGAGTGCGAATGAATGAGGGAGATGACCAAGTTTATCGACACTTAAACGCTATTTGGTAGTGCATATTTAGGTGGACTATGAACTAAGATGAGGGTGTTATTGAATCCCCTTTGCTTTAACGTCACCCTAGTCTATTAGTACTATGTCTAGAGACTAAGAGACCAGAGCTATATTAGGGAGGAACCAAGATTAGCACCTTGTCAGGTCGCCTACTCAAGTTCAGTCAAACTTAGCTTTGTTGCGACGACGCTTTGCACCCAACAGAGCCACCGCAACAGTAAATATTATTGACAATAGTGTCCTGGATTCCTAGTAAGCCAGGCAAAATATAGATAACCTTTTTATAGGAGATCCGCCTTTGTTAATTAATCTCACTTGGATGGAATTTGTATTGTCTACACCTACGGGCGGTAATAGCCAATGAACAGCGCATAGAACGTTCGAAGGACTATCCTTGTTGTGCCGATCTTCATAGAAACCCTTGGCCCCCTTTTCGCCCTCTTCTTCTCACAGTGACTTGTATGTACCGAGCCATAGTAGCTCACCATTTGTTCCTCTATTAACTTCCTGCCGTCCTCTCCGATGAAGAATGAGGAATGGGCGGCCCAAATGGCCAAAGGCTAAGGACTACTCTGACCTCTTCCTTGCTCATGAGAGTGGCTGGCAACCTATGATACTGTCGATCGGCTGCTCGGACCCATGACACTATATGTCAATGACTGCCGTTGTGTCGCAGATCAATATGGATTGTATTAAAGTATTTCTGTAACAAAAGGGGGCTATTTCCAAAATGATCCTCTTCAGCCGACAGGTAATGCTATTCAAAAAGTGGTGTCTATTCAGTTGACTATTGCTGGTGTTATACATACCACCCAACGCAGGCAGTGGGCTGTGATAGCAAAACGAAGCCTTAACCACTAGACACACAGTCTGGGGCAAACAAGAAGGTAAATTGCGCGGAAATGAACCGTCTGATACTGAAGGCTGCCGAAGGCCTGCTCAACGCAAGGGTAAATCTACATCTTGGACAAGCTTCACAGCGCTTGGGTGAATATCCTGGAGATTTTCGGCGGCAGCATTGTGAACCATGTCCTGCAGATTAGCGGTAAAGTCCATCTGTCCATATGACTGAACCGCTCCGAGGTATGTGATCTTCTCACCATACTCCCCATCTTTGTTTTCTTCGCCCAGATAGTCCAGCATACCTCCGGTCAACGGGACCAGCAAGTCCACATCAAGCTTGTCACGGCAATTGTCGCAGTCTTCGACGTCCCAACGACTCAATACAGGCTCCCGTCCAATCTCAATCAACTCCATTTTACCAGGAGGTTGCGCAAACATACGGATCACGAAGGAACCTCGGTGTACCGCACGGTTAACGGTAATCTTCTTCACCTTCTTCACCTTATCATCGCCCTTCTCTGGACCCCTAATCGGGCTCGCAATAGGTTTGTGGGGAGATGCTAGATGATCGAGTGAGCCAGGTCCGTATTTGTATCCGCGGTCTCCCTCAATTTTCTCAATATTGACAAGGTCCTTAGATTTCCAATATGTTTGGTCAGGCTTCTTGAACGGCTGGAGATCAGTATCCATGTTTAACTTGGTCTTTGGAGGCATGCTTCCCACTCCTTCCTGAAGTACCGCTCCGCGATCATTGGGGTCTATCACTAGATTGGTGGTGGAGCCATGCCTTCGTTGCCATAGCCAGAAGACGTAATCCACGAAGCAGTGATGGAAGAAAAAGATCGGGTCAAAGCTGGCCGTCTCGTTATCACCCATATCCCCATTCGCGCCCGCGATTTCATTAGCGTTGTACACGCCTGGCTGGTAAAAACCACCAACAGCGAGATGCATCGCATTATGCGGGCTTTCAAGCGAGGTAGGGGGCGGATGCGTCTTGATCGGTGCATTCTTTTGTGATGTGACGTTGGAGAAAATGGTATAGGTAGAAGCATCGAGGCAGTAGTTATACCTTCCGAGCACAGAGGTCGTGTCAGCAATTTTAGTTTCTTTGATCCCATCACGCGTTATCTTAATATTTCCCTGGAGCCAACTCGAGACATTGCGGTTCAGTAGAATAGTGCACCAGTCATGGTGTGCAAAGTCTGAATTTTGGCTTCGCGTCGCCAATCTATCCCAGGCGTTGCCGACCAAGCCAGAGCGCGGGTATCGGACAGTTTGGTAGTCAAGTGGTTTACTGTACCGATGGGCAGCACCATCTACTTCATGCTTAAGCTCCTTTTGAAGCTTGTATGAGAAGAGAGGGTTGGGGATATCTTGATTGCCAAGCCTGAACTTCTCCCTGGTGAGAACCTCGGGAATCGGCATCGGCTTTTTGTTCTGGTCTAACTCACACTCATCCCAGAATGGAAGGGCAACATCCTCACAGCCGGGCACCGTGCGCATAGCATCCTCATAGCGCAGCAGATACATTCGGTGCCAAGTTGGGAACAAGACATTGGCGTGATGACAGTAGCCACCCCACCATTTGGGATCGGTCGTGCCCTGGCCTTGGAAGGGCTCACCGTGATAACCAGCCAGATTGAAGAACGAGTTTGCATCGCCGGGGGGCTTCTTTTGGAGCTCGTGAATGGCCTTCACAACTTTCTCGAGTGTCTCTACAGCATTCTGAGACTCGGTATTGAGAGCTTCGTCACTCTCTTTCGCTTTGTAGTAGAGATAGCTGAGACGGTTCAGGGACTGGCGCACACGAGTCATGACTGCAAAGGCGATGAGAAATGGAGAAGAATTGATAGGAAAGGCTGGTTGAATCTGACTGCTAAACAACTTGCTAAAGTGTTTATGCTTGGAGCCCTTCTCTCCATCTTGTCATCTTGGGTAGATGAAGACCTTTATAAGTTTGATCTCGGCTTGTATAATTAATCCATTATCATCGATAGGCGGCAGTGGGCAAACCAATTCTGCGTAACAGATACAAGGGAAATTGGCCTTGAAGACCCTCGTTATGCCCGACTTCCCAAGACACCGTATATTATGCAGGTAGTATCCTGTTTTTCTCGCATACACGAAAGGCAATAGCGTTCCCAGATGAACGGTCGCAGAGATCATCGCCATTCTACAACCAAACAGGAGCTATGGAAGCTAGCTCTAGTGGTGATTGGCCATTTACTTACATAATGGCAATGATATAACTAACTGTATGTAGAGGACGCATCGTTGGTAGGCCTGTCTGTTCAGCTTGTCGCATTCCTACGCCAGCGCATCACAGTACTGGAGATGTTGACTGCACCATTAAAATGGCTAGCACCACCTCCACAACAGAATCATTGCAGTTAGCTATCATTCAAAGTGAACTTCCTCTTTCGGACCCTTACATCCTTTGGCAGGGATGCAAAGCATTGGGCATCAGTACAGTAAAATGATGTACATATTTGCTTGATTCTGATACGCTATACAAGTATCCCGGTCCACTACATGCCAGCACATGCATGCCGAGCCTACATCGCCGTTGTGGCCAACCAGTAACCGCTGCTATTTTGTCAATCCAAGGCGTCATGAATAACAGTATGAGTACCTACTGAGAAAGGTCCCCTAGGTGTTGCAGCCCACATAAGCTTTAATTCCTCAGCCACTCCGTACTACAACCCATAATTGAACTTGTTTTATGTCGCGATATATGCATTAGTGTCCTCGTTCTATATGATACGGAACTTGTATGTAAGTCAAACCAAGTAATACAGCAGCATCGTAGTGTAAAAAAGAGCAAAGCCATCTATGGTCCACGTAGATGATTTTATCATATTAATCTCTGCTTCGAAGTGGAAACACTGCATGGTCCTCCTCCAGTTCCTGCTGGTTCCGATTGGATAATACTAAGCATGTATAGAACTACATAAGGGACTACGTGCGGGGTTAATACATCAGTAGTTACGTATTTCGTATATGCATGGTTTATTAAAGTTTGGACCATCACCTTTTCTTATGACATACACTATCCTCTCCTACTTTGTGTTGTTCAATGACTACTGCACCGATTGAGGTAGTATTGGCTATAAGCGGAATCAACCGACTTTGTTACTGATAGAAGGTAATACTGATCGTAGTGTGTCACTCCATCATGCCGGTTCTTACAGTGATGTGGCCAAGATACATTTCTACACTTCTATATTAGCCCTGAACCAGGAGGCTCAATTAGCTACTTCTATCAGCCTGTGAATTGATATACTAGGATCCTGGAAACCAAACCTAATAGTGATATGAGCAGTTCTCCAGTTTGTTGTGCAAACCACGTCAGCATAAAGCTTTAGCTACTCCATCAACTTACGATAGTCAGCGTGCTGTATTCGTGGCAAGGAACCCGAATAGGTAGCAGATATCAAGATTACAATGGAATAACGCCCATGCTAATTATAGACGGAGATTTAGAGATAGCTCTAGAAAAGTATAGCCAGATAATCTATCTTGACCGGGACATCCATAACTGCAGTTGGATGTTTTGCTGAAATAGACAAGGCGGGGGCCGAGTATGATGAGCGGGCTAAAGACATTCGCAACCTTTCACGACGGGGACTGCGCTTCCTAGGAGAGAAAAGGTACTAGCTCTTTGTCAGGTCGCATCCTCAAGTCCAGTCAGATTTAGCCAAGTGGCGACGCCGTTTTGCACACACCAGAGCCATCACAACTATAGATATTAGTATAGAAAGTAGTCAATCGTCCTCAGTGCTAAAAGGATCCTTAGTAAGTCAACCAGAAGCTGGATAACCTTCTTTATAGGAGACCCGCCTCTTAAAGTGAGGCTAGTAAAAGTCGGCTTCAAGGCCTGTTTGTATGGCCGATTGGACCAAGGTTGGCACCAACAGACTACAGAATGCGCATGCTACTGTATTCCCACTAAGCTTCAGTTACTTTCCGCTGCAGTGGCACAAGCTTGACCTGGAAAGCGTCAGCCTAGATAAAACACCCAATGTTCAGCAAGTCAGGATCTCAGGCAGCTAGAGCTAAACCTCAAACTTCCGTGATAGAACTTCGAAGATAAGTTTGCACATACACACCAAAGCTATGGTTGATGCAATGGGGTTCCTCTCATCATACGCTGTGATATTATTATGGTCTTGCACAAAATAATCCATATTTTATTGACTGTCTGCATCGCTCCATTAAGATATCCAGCAACCAATAAAAGCTGATAGACACTGTGCACTTAGGTGGGTCTATTAGTGGATTTCATATTATCCAATTGACTTCTACACGGAGGGTACTATGGAACATCATTTAATGCTTTGTGAACACTGTTCACCATTCTCTTGAACACTTTTTGCCCGTCTAATAAATATTTGCAATTATTCTGTTGAATATCTCTTGTCAACAACGGTCAACGGCTCCGAGAAACTACATCCACAGGTAGCTTTAGAATAGCGTGCTACAGCGCCACAGATAGTAGAACAATTAGTACTGTACAGAGAATACTGACTACCTCTTCAGAGTACACAGAGGTTGCTCACTGGTTCCTACAAAGTATTGGCCTGTGGTCTCAAAGGTTATTTTCTCTCTCTCTCTTTTTTTTTTTTTTTTTTAAACGGTTAAACACAACACTCCAACTGCCCCTGGTGGATACTTTTAACTATTTTATTAAATGCTGTTCACTTCACTAGTACAATTATTAAATAATTCATTATTCTAGTAAACATTTTCTGCTGACCACTTCTTGAACCACCCTGTTGAACACTTTTTGATCATTCTCATGAACATCTTTTGAACATCCTGTTGAATACCTTAGAATACCGTTAGATAATTTTTCTCCCAATCACAAAATAATCACACCCTTTATTATATCTACAGCCTCGACGGAAGCTACAGTAAAAAATGCCTCTCATCTCTCCTCTGAGTCTTGACTCTTGCCATTCCCAGATACATTCTTTTGCCTTCTCCAGAAGAATAATTATCTAGGTATACAATATCGCCCGCCTAAGAGCGATATGGCAAATTACCTCTACTTGTTGTTCCCCTTTTACTTTCCAATTTTTACTTGTCCCATAATATGGCCCAGTTTCAGACCCAGCCCGCTGCCATGCAGCAAGGACGACAAAGCCTTGTTAATGGCCAGCCCAGTATGGCTGCGCAGCTTCCATTTCATGGAAACAACCCAATGCCACAGGCTGGGAACGTTGCCCCATCCAGACAGGTAGTCAACTCTTTCAACGTCATGGGAGCACAACAACACGGACCTAGTACGATGGCCCAGCAGCAAGCTGGGAGTGTTACCCCATACAGGCTGCCACCCAATTCAACCAGCGTCACCGGGCCACAACAGCAAGCACCTGCTATGATGGCCCCGCCGCAGGGTGGGATTTCCGCGTCATATGGCCAGCCAGTCAATTTAATCCACCCCATAGGACCACAATATCAAGCACCTGGTATGGTGGTCCAGACGCAAGCGCCGATCGCAGGCCCGCATCAGGCTTGGAACAATTGCCAACCACCTCAAGCACCACAGCTCTCCCCACAACAACATGCCAAGATGGCGCAGATCAAGGAAGAAAGAATGAAATTCAAACAGGAGCTGATGGAAGATGTCCGCAAGGATATGGCAAACGTCCGTCAGGAGATGCAGCAATTTAAACAACAAGCTGAAAAGAGAATGCTCCACAATGTTCAATAGCAACTCAGTCTATTGTGCCAATTGGTAGAGAAAAGTCAGATCCCCGGGCTGCTGGCCAGGATCAAAGAGCTAGAAGGGTAGGCAACATATGAGACGAGATTACTCAATGAGGTGAATTATTATTAATTTATTTTATTTTATTTTAATTTATTTATTTATTTTTTTTTTTTTTGGCTATAAGGGTCTGTCAAAAGAAGAGAGCGAACTGGGGTTGAATTAGATGTCCCGGGTCCTTGATGCCAAGCATGGCATCCTTGGATCTCTAACTTTTGGGTTGATCAACCAATGAGAACCTAGATCTTCTCGCTGAGCAAGATGTAGCCATGTGAGAGTCAGAGGAGTAACTCTCTCACTTCTTATGACTTCGCAAAAGTCTCCATCATCAGTATCTCCTAACTTGTATCCAATGTAATCAGTCCAGTTGATGTCAATTGCTTCATCCACTAATATCTTTGTCATTCATGAAAGCGCTTGCCCATCCATCATCTGGTCTGAATTCCAGTAGTAAACAAAGTTTGGCGAGATTGATGTGCCCATCACACAGTGTTGCTGAACTCAATGGGATGTTTGCAATTAATGCTGGGTGCTCTGATTGGCCTAAAGGTCTCACCGTCTTCAGGCGGGCAGGAGATAACATACATTACCGTTTTCGGGAGAGTATGTCCTTGGTAGTCACGTGCCATTTCTAATATACTGTAGGGAGAATGCTGGGTCAAAGTTTCCAACACCCCATTACTTGCAAAGTTGTATAAAAATTCGTATTGGCGACCGTGGTGGCTGGCAACTAACGGGGTTTTACAATGTGAGCCTTAGAGAATGATAGAAACATCTTTTGCTTCTAGATCAGCGGCATTCCGCATTCGGAACTCGGGATACCGACTATAGCAATCCGAGGAGGGTTTGCAAAAGTATCATCAAGGGTTGACACCATTTAGATACTCGAAATTGGAACAGAAATCAAGTCAAAAGAATATTGATATCTTTGTAAAAGAGTACTTTCAAGATATAAATAAGAGGGCCAGACTTTTACTACGTGTGCCTGATAAGTTGGCATGTTACTAATGTATATACATTGTTGTACTCGCGCTTTCCTCTCGAAAATGATACTAGTATTTACAAGTAAGAACTTGAACGCATGATGCTCGAACTGGCTACTACTGAAGCAAGTAGAAGATTTAGTAGTTTACTGTCTGCTAATCAAAAGTGAGCAATCCAATAACAAGTCACAGATCGTTAGCTTAGTATTTGCAGCGGAATCAATAGTCGGGACGACCCAATGTCACGAGAACAGGTACAAAGAGGAAGTGATTGCCCCGAATTGAGCCCAGATTCTTAAAGCCCATTCCAGCTTTATGTGTTTGATTTGTTTGCATTGCAATCGACTATTCTAGACTATTTAAAGAGAATATGCAGCCAAAATCCTCCTATAAATAGAATCAATTATGATCTGAATAGTCAAGTAACAATTAAAAAATTTATCTATCATTATCTATCTCTATATCGCACTTTTCTTGTAAAACCATTCCCGTATATAACACATACAAAGAAAACGTAAATATCAGAGACACAGGTATACCGCATATATTAAGCCAAGAGCGCCTAGCGGTGGCGCTCAGTCCACGTACTTGGGAAGCGTCTTCAGGATGCCATCCCGTGCGATGTCCTCCATCGCCCTGGTGATCTCCTGGATGAACCGCTTGTCGCCGCGCAAATCGTCACCGAACAGGCTCTTGATGCTGAGCAGCTCGGCCGGGTTGGTGCCTCCTGTGCGGGCCTTGGCCTGGAGCTCCTCGCGCATCGGGTCGTCGACCTCGAACGTCTTGCCACTGTCGTCGACGCCGTTAATGTAATGGAACCAAGCGGCGGCGACGAAGCACAGGCGACGGAATGGGCCAGTAACCCAGATCGCCTCAGCGATCGAAGGCATGATAAACTGTGGAATCTTGCCGGACGCGTTGAGGCAGATGCGAGGCAGTTGGTCCATGATGGTTGGGTTGGAGAAGCGCTCGATGAGCGTCTTGCAGTACTCATCAATGTTGACGCCGGGGATCTCAGGCAACAGCGGCTTCACCTCGTCCTGCATCATTTGCCACACGAACTTACTGAACACCGGGTGCTCCATGACCTCATGGACATATTTGAAGCCTGCCAGCTGCCCCGGGTAACCTATGGCCGAGTGGCTGCCGTTGAGCAGGCGCAGCTTGTGCTTTTCGAACTGCTCAACGTCATGGACATTCTTGACCACCTGGGCACCGACCTTCTCAAATGGTGGGCGACCATCGGAGAACTGATCCTCAATGACCCACTGCATAAAGGGCTCTGTGACGACTGGCCACGAGTCCTCGATGGCAAAGTTGTCTGCGAGGGCCGTTTTATCGGTGGCGGATGTCTGAGGGGTGATACGGTCGACCATGGCGTTGGGGAAGGCACCTTGTTCGGCAATCCACTTCGCGATCTCGGGGTTGCGTAGACGTGCAAAGGACTCGAGCATGTGGCGTGTGATGGAGCCGTTCTTTTGCATGTTATCGCAGGACATGACGGTGAAGGGCTTGAGCCCTTGCTGGTAGCGGCGTGCCAGAGCGGCATAGAGGAAGCCGAACGTGGTGCGGGGGGCCTTCTCGTTGGCCGGTTGGAGGTCGAACTGGATGTCAGGGTGCTCACTTTGCAGCTCGTGTGTGTTCTCGTTGTAATAGTAACCGCTCTCAGTGATGGTGAGCGACACAATGTGGGTATCCGGGTGCGCCATCTTGGCGATGACGGCTTCACGGTCATCGGGGGCAAAGAGATAGGAATTGATGCTACCAACAACATGGGCAAAGCTGCCCTTGGCCGAACGCTCAATGACGGTGTAGAGGTGGTCCTGTGATCCTAAGGCATCGCGCATGGCGGCGTCAAAGGGCTGCAAGCCAACACCGCAAATTGCGTAGTCTGTCACACCATGCTTCTGCATCAACTGGTCGACATAGACAGCCAAATGAGCTCGGTGAAAGCCGCCGACGCCGACGTGAACAATTCCTTCCTTAACGGCGCCACCGCGCTGGTAGGTTGGAGCCTTGACCTGGGCCTCACCTGCCGCCGCAATTTGGGACAAGTTCTTGTTGTTAAGCTTGAGGGGAGCCATTGTGAATGTGTGAGCAAGAGAGAGAGAGGAATTGAAAAAAAATCACAAAGGGCGAGAAGGCGAGAGATAAAAGGGGTGCTTATTTGGCTGGGGCGCTGACTCGACCAGGGTCACCGCCAGTCTTTTTGACCGCTGATTAGAACAGGATTACATCATGTGGTGGGGAGCTGAACTCACGACTCACGAGGTTCTCGAATTTTTATTTTTCTTTTTTCTTTTTTTTTTCTGCCACCTGGAAAAATTAAAAAGTACAATCCAATTAGATAAGCATTCCTTTTTTCTTTTTTTGGTTGTTTCGCCGCTATCGGTCGCCGTATCACATTAAACTAATCGTGCTTAAGGTTTTCATGTACGAAGCTCACTTTTGTCAATGGAACAAAAAGAAAAACTCTGAGATCCACCCAGAGAAAAACCCTAAAAAATGTCAGCGGCTGACCATGGACAAAAGATATACATCGCTGGCAGTAAATTCCTACCATACTTGACTTCAATCCCGAGCCAAAACTCGGAAAATAAGGGGAGAGCCACGGACGACAGACGGGAATATTCTTGGATTGGGCTGATGGCAAACTTCAAAGTACCGGGGGACACTCCACAACCCCAGCGCCTTCCCTGGACCCACGAAGAGGCCGGGGCAACTCACTGAGCCATAGAACATGATCGAAGCTTCCCCCGAATCGTTGTAGTGACTACTAGTTACTGTCAATTGCCGCGGGAACCTGTGTGTCTCTAAGGATCCAAGTGGGCAGGCGTTGATCGGGCCGAGACCGTATTGGTAGCAAGGTGTGGGTTCCTGGCAATAAACCCACATGAACCGGGTCAGAGGGATGAGCACGGTTGGTATCCCCAAAGATGGGGGTGTGGCTCCTGCGACCCTCTTCTCATCGATCCCAATAAAATGCCCAGTATCACATCGGTCTCTCCGAGAGAGGGTATCCAGCATGCCCGAGCACAGCCCCGATGCTCGTAAGCACTCCCGGTCATATATAATTATCGCAATGGAATATGTCTTTCAGACAAGGGTCGTAGGGGCGAGCTTTGCATTGCGGCGCCGGGAGTTCCTGGTACAGAGATTCAGCATCGGGAGGATATGAGCAGGATTGACAGGAAGCTATACACATATTGTTTCTAATTTTTTCCGGTCGTAGATCCAGAGGGGGGGATGCCCGGTGAGTGAGCTCCCAGCAACTAAGACGGTAAGTTGTTATTATTTTCTCCTCTGAGGGGTCTGTCCAACCCCTCCTCACCAGTAATCCACGTGATCGTCGGCCGAGGCCTTGTCAGGTGAACTCAATTGCCACGCATCCAGTATTTCCACCGCGTATCCACTGCATATTCCTCATGACTCGCACCAATCTGACATGTAGCCCTGCATGTATCATATACCAGATACCGTTTTCTACATACTAGTGACGCCTAGCGACGCCCGCGTCAAAGTCAGTAAACAGCCTCATCAGATGCAGGTGTGGCTGTTCGATGGCGAGATGCATAGATGTCAGTCTGAAGTCTCTCGTGACCAAGAAGCGCTGCAAGGTGAAGCGGTGTGCATTTACTGTCATTTTGAGCTTGGAAGTTAACTTCATACTTGGACAAGGCGAAGAAGATCTCCTCGTTCTTAAGGGTGACCTACTAACGCAAAACCATGCGGCCACTCAATGCCCGATATCGCGTATCCAGCTGCGTCGGGTGGACTCCTACTAGCTCCAAGAATCTTTCAAACATTGATATGCATACATGAGTCGTATACCTTATTTCCAGTCGGCGGATGGTACGGTCGGGGGTAATTGTTTGACATCACCACTCGCGATTAAGTTTTTGCATCGTCGGGAGAGAGCATCCGCAATGCCGTTTGACTATGGCCAGTGGAGGACGGAACCACGAGATCCCCTTCAGTCAGCCGTCGGGCATGAACTCTAATCCATTGCCGCCTTGATCCTTGGACCCTACCACCATTTGTGGCCCCGGGCAGACCAATCAATAATGGCGAACAATACCACGAAGCCAGAAAGACGGGCGCGGCATGGCTCATGTTCTTCGCTGTTACTGGGTAATTCGGGTGAAACGCGAGGAAGATGATAAGAACGGGATAAGCGATGTACTGGTCCAGAGTTGCGAGGGACAGGAGCGGATTGAAGTCCATGGTGGAACTGATTATAGTATTTGCCCGAATTTCTGCAAGTGATTCATACATTGAGACAAAAGCGTCGATCTCACCTTGCATACAACTCAGGAATCGAGGAGCGAACGGAGTAAGATCGTAAGTTCAATGGTACTGAGCTCCAGCCGGCGAAAGAGCCATGCCCAGCGACCCGATAATTGACAATATCAGTAGATGAGGGCACGTACCTCACGTCCATGTTTCCGGACGGAGTCGCGAGGCAACTTGTGCCCGCCATGGCCGTAGAGCATTTCAACCTCATTGAACTCCATCGCTGTCATCGTTGAATAGGACTGTTGGATTAACTTTCTTTCGAAAGGAACGAAGACGGTTAGGCTGTAGTTTTAGAGCTGAGAACGGGGATACAGGAAATGTTTAGAGAAAAATAAAGAGAGAATAAGAAGATTCGAGAACAGAGGTTTCCCATCCTCGTTTGTTAGATTGTGCTAAGGGGATAGACTATACTCATTAAACCCTGTCCAACCTCTACCTTCTAGTGCTTTGTAGTAAGTATCATCGAAGTTCTAGCCCTGGTCGGGGTCACACAACCAGAGTCAAGGCTACACAGAGTATTACGGTTACAGTGATTGAAAGACTACCAGGAGACATCATAGTAATGTACTAAATACTAGCCTGGTTTAATCTGCCCGGTCAATTTCTCTTTGCTGAATTACACTCCAGGGACGCTTTGTCTTGACTCTTGACTACGGGCTACAGGTCTGAAGCGGATACATCTACAACATGATGCTACACACACAGACTCTCTCTCTCTCTCTTTCTCTCTCTCTCTTCATTTTCTTTTAGTTTCCTTTTAACACCCAAAGAACTATTTACACCATGTTCTCCTCGCTTCCACATTCCTGACCTTGGTTGTCTGTTCCGTTCCACAACGCCTGCATCGCGACAGCTACTCCTTGCCGATGCAAGCATTTAGAGACTGTTTTCAGTGTATCCACTCACAACCAGTATGACGTTTCCCTTACAGTTGCGATTCCTGTACGGGGCGTGTTTATCCCATTTCTTCTCTGGTCTACTAAATTTGGCTCCGCCGCGCAGGGTGATGATGCAGATGGTCGCCAGCATGACTATGACATGCATCCCCAATCTGCATCGTGTCATGAACAGCCTGGCCCTTGGAATGGACAGAGTCCAAGCCCCTGAGGAGTTAGAGCTGATCTCATCGAAGAAATCTAACTGGGCAGGATCTGGTTCCCATGTCGTTTCTCCAACGGGGCGGAACATTTCAGTGAACAGGAAGATGGAGATTATTGGAGGAAGATTATTCCCGGTGCAGAATGCATAACAACAGCTAGTAATTGAGTGAAATAAGCGTGATAATTAGGTGGAGACTATATTATTCTCTACTCAGGTTTACAGTCTATTATAGTGAGAACAAATCTCCTACATAAATGTTCGTTTGGTTATTGTATGCTAATGGAAACTTGAAGTGGTTTAGCGTGCTTCTCCATATAACAATTTAAAAATACGAAAAAAAAAAGAAAAAAAAAAAAGGCTTAACCCCTGGTGAGCGTTGTGCTTCGGATTTAATTATGATACCAACCACTACTTCTCCCCCATCCAGAATCTAGATTCCAGACTACTTTACCTCGTACGTCTTGCACTGAAGCCCGAGACGATTGGGTAAAATGGCGCCATGGGGACTTACCACCTTTTCTCTCGTCACGGCCACAATCAGCGTTTTCATCAAACCTACCGGTCACCCAACATTTCTCGAAAATATAAAGCGCAACGTATTACTCTTCTCCCCATGCCAGTCCGCACTCCTCATCGCACTGATGCTACTCGATTTTATAAGCTGGAGGCTCTTAAGCCTTGTTGACATACATGCCGGCTTAATGATTTCCAGCCATTATTACTTCACGTCGGATTGTTCTGGTCTCGAGCGCAAGTGGTGGTGGCATTGTATGCGGCGCACGTTCCTCATTGGTGGCACACTGCCGCTTTACGTGGCCCTGCTAAGGTCCGAGAATTCTCCATGGATCAAGATTCTCGTGACGCCTTTGGTCGCTGATTCCATATTGATCGAACTGTTGTCACTGTTCTGGGACACTTCGGAGGCTGACTTGAGGTTCAACCGTGACTGGCCTCATCGCACGCTCGTTGTGAAACCAGCTAATCCGCCCACCCGCAACCATGACAAGGACCAGGGAGAGGCAGATCCGAATAAGAAGACAGAAGAGGACGGAGATACGCTGTCGTCTTCTGTTACCGCAGATAGCCTCTGTGATCGGGTATACGAGCTCTGGTGGCCAGCAGCGGAGGCAGATGACAATGACGATTCACAATCTTTGCCTCCAAACCATTCCAATCTAGAACAGATTTTCTCCCCCACGCGCCGAGCCCCGCTGGGGAAGTGTGGGCACTGGCGATGTCTTGTCTATCTAGTAATATACATCGCCACCCGGGTGATCCGTTGGCCCCTGATGTTTGGCGATCTGGCATTGATCACCTGGCTGCTACACCGCAGCCTGCAGCCCGTGACGCTCCTTGTTGCGGATATTTTGCTAGACATCCGCCTACTAAAAGATCTGCTCACCATCTCGTACATGGCATTCATTATTATGCTCGGCAGCATCTGCATTTTGGTCGCTCTGAAACTGCTATCCCTCCGATTGTGCCAATATATCTCCTTCTTACAGCGCTTCACGCAGTGGCTCCAAGACCTTGCCAGCGCGACTCCAATCACCAACAAAGTTATCCATTTCATCCACCATATAATTACACCTGCTACTGTGAGCTATTGCTCATTTAAACTCCTAATGACAGGGGACCCACAGTTGTCAAGGAACATGCTCTCATTTTTTATTGAGCTCATAGTCATCCCCATCCTTTACGTGTTGACGTATTTGCTCATTTGCGGCAAGGAAAAATCAGAGGATGTTCCCGCGGACCCTAAACTCCAGCCCAAAACCGGGCCAACCTCAGAAGCGAGCCAAAATCCTGATAACACGTTCCAGGATAAGAATAAAGATGCAGATAACGATGCATCCGAATCCCGCCAATCCGTGAATGGAGTCCGCTTTCATATATTACGACTGAGCTGGCTTATATCCACTTCAACCATCTGGCTTTTTGCCTGTCGGTAGGTTGTTCAATTAGATATACATGCGCTATATAGCTATTTGCAGAGTGGTCAGGACCCTGTGTGGCCATGGAACCTTGTGACTACATAGAAAATATTTTCCATAACTTATTGAACTGTGAATGAACGGTCCTATTTCCCTTGTGACTGCGCCGAAGAGCATGCTGTAGATCATATATCCATTTCCGTCCCCACAGGTGTGGGCACCAAAGCAGGAGGGTGGAAAAAGGGAGATAGAGGAGCCAGTGTTGGGCAAAGGATCATACCCGCGCCCACTGAGATCCTACGCAGCGATGAATGAGGAGATCACCGCGATCTGGATTCAAGTGCAGGAGCGTGTGTCTCAGCTGGCCATTCGCAAAGGAGGAAAAGTCAATCTGGGATTGCAAATTGACGATATCCTTGCCAATCTGAATTCTCTTCAGGAGCCTAATCAGGAAGAGCCGGAAGGACAGAGATTGTCGAAAAGGCTTTGAGACGGACTTTAGGAGTGATAAAGGCGGTCGGACCAATTGTGTCTAATGGTGCATCCCGAGTCAGTCCTACCTTAGCGATATGAAAATATTTAGGTAGTATTAACAACTGCAGAGTTTTCCCCTCGTCGGCCAATGCTACAACGCCATCAGTTTCGTTATCAGCGCCTGGGAGGGTTACCAAAGTGCCTTTGATTGCTTGCCTGAGCTGTTGGAAAAGTACTCTGACTATCTAGGACACCTGGAATATTATGCGTAAAGGGAGATAGATACAAAACTGACCAAAGTGGCATCGCAGCAACTCCTACTATTCGTTAAGATATGCGATTGTGCACTGGAGGCTGGAGCTAAGGTAATCGTCTAGCGAGAGGATTAAAACGATGCTCAAGTTTTCCTTCCTGGCAGAGAATGATATCCAGGGGTTGCTGGGTGAAATGGACAAAGTGGTCACTAAAGGACGTCACTTGGTTGCTGCACAGACCTTCCAGTCTGTCTCTGCAGCGGCCATCAATTCTGGTCAAGAGCTGAATGAACGGCAAATTAGATGCCATGATGCAGAGCAACGCTGATCAGAAAGAAATGGTGGAAGCAGGTGACAACAAGAAGCTGCGGGATGCGTTAGACTTTGACAGAAACCCTCGTCAATGGGATAGCACTAGACAGCAGCCAATAGGCTCTTGGTAGACGACATACAACAACATCCGCAAGAAAGTCGTGCCAAGCACTGGCCAGTGGCTTCTATCTGATCCCGTCTTTCAGTCATGAGGAGGCGACTTGAGCTCATCACCAATTCTTGATGTAGAGGGAACGGAAAGTACTGGTAAGAGCTATCTGGCCTAAAACGATATCTACCAAAGAATCTGCTCAAGCGACATCAGAGGTCTAGACATTTGGTGGCCTTTCATTTCCTCGACCGTGGGAAAATCGACCATGGATTCGATGCTGTGGTTAAACCTCCCATCTGGCAATTTGCAGACAACGATGAACCGTATATGAAGTCGGCAGTGCACATCTGTCAAGGTCATGGGGCCCTCGGCCTGGAGGAGATCCTGCCACTGCTGCTGCTCGACAACAAGGAAATGAGCCATTTTGGTGTCACGTTTAATATTTTCATTGATGGACTGGGATATACTATCGATGATTCGCTGCTTAAGCTTTTACAGCAAGCATCGAAGTCCAGCAACAAGGCTATTCACATCTTTCTTACGGACACCCCCATAGCTTTTACACAACTCAGAGGAAGCGGGGTGGATTTCCGCAAGGTCCCTATTAATCCAAAGAATCATGAGGGTATCGAACGGTTCATTGACGCAAGAATGAATAGGTTTGATGCCCTGTCAGACACAACTGCGTGGGAGCAGCAGAAATGAGAAAAAAAGATTCGCCAACTGTCTCAGGAAACGGGCGGCGACTATTTCAAGGCGGAGTCGGCTCTGAACGCCATCAACGCGTTGGACTACATGAAGGATATCAACCAAGTGATTCAGGCTGCCGACAGGGAGCGTTCAGAGCAGATTCGGGAAGAGATCCAAACACTCAACCAGGCGCGGTCCGCAAGAGAAATCAAAGAGATTAACGAGATTATTATCTAGATCGCTTTTGTCAATGAACGCGTCACGGCAGATCAAATCTCTGCCGTGTTGTACCTGAAGAGCGGAGAGGCGCCGTTGTGGCCGCTGGATGAACGGTTCCGAACCAAGTATCTCCTGTTTGAAGTGGATAGCGATGGGTTCGTCTGCTACAGACCATCCGAAGCTTTGAAGGTTATTCCAAAACGTCAACAACAGGGTACAACTAACCAACAAGACAGAGAGACTATCCAGCCCGGAGGGT